CCATTTCTTCAGCCATTATGATGTCATAATTTGTCTTTAGTCTTAGTGGTCCAATAGCAACAAGGTAACCAGGTAATATATAAATGTTGCCTCGCCCAAGGGTAAGCTATTTAATTCTCTATTCCATTCACATTTATTGAGTTCTTTCCTCCTTCAGATATTTCTTTAGAAAAATTTTTTAAAAATATTGTTGATGTTTGTTTCTTTAAGGTGGGTACCTACCTTGGCAGTTACTTTGACTTCAACCTTAACAATGTGGCCATGTACTCGGAGACCCGCACAGCTCGGATCCCTCTGCCATCTTCCCCCTGCCCTGCTCAGGGATGCATGCCTTGCCTGGGATTGCCTTCCGACATCAAGTACTACTTTGAGACTGGGGATGTTGTTGTACAGGGAATTTTCTCTCTTCATCAGTTGGGCCTTACTCCTCTCACGTGTGGTCCTCAGATGTAAGTAATAATGATGTACTTTTGGGTTCTTTTGTGATATCCTACCCCAAAGGACGTCACAGGACAGTCCAACATTTTAGAGGGCGGTAAGACTGGGTTTCCCGGCTTTCTGATGCTTTTAACGACCCCAAAACATCTAGAATTGGCCCTAACCCCAAACCCACCTACATCCCACGAGAGAGTGCAACCTAGGTTCCATAACTGCATGCAGCCTAGGTTTTTCAACTGCATGCAGCCTATCTACTATCCCCTGTAATATTAGACTGTCTCGTGACCTGTGAATTTCCCTTCTTGCGGGTAGGATATTAAAAAGCATCTACTTTTGTCTTTTCTTTATTCTTCTCCTTCTGCTTCTCTTCCGTCTCCTGTCCTCTCTTTCTTCCTCCTCCTCTTTTTTTTTCTTCTTCTTCTTTCTCCATTCTTCGTCTTCACTTCCTCTGTTATCGCTTCCGGTGTCTAGGGAGATAAAAGGTTCTGCTTCTTGCTTTTCTAGCCGTCTCGATCATAGTACTGTTGTGGAATTTTGGTGATGTTGTCTTTCCGTATTAATCTTCGTCTACCTTGGGATTTACATTCGTTTTCCTCCTTGGTGTATACTTTTGCATGTTATGTCTTCCTCAATTTACCTCACCAAAGTGTTAAAGAGATCTTGTTTTGTGCGTCTTCTAATTACTTGTATTAGTAAATCTAGATTTCTTTAAGGGTGTCCCATCTTTTGCCTGATCTTCCACTTGCTTTGTGTTCATTTTATTCTATCTCCTCTAATTAATTTGTCTTTGACAATCATTCTTATTTGATATTGTAAATATCTCTATATCCCGTGTCCTGTAATTCATATTTCTTTGGCAATCATTCTCATATGATGTTATAAATATCCTGCAATCCTGTGTCCTCTAATTTATATATCTGACAAAATTTCCCATGTGATGTTATAAATATCCTGCATATCCTGTGTCCTCTAATTTATATATCTGACAAAATTTCCCATGTGATGTTATAAATATCCTGCATATCCTGTGTCCTCTAATTTATATTTCTGACAATATTTCCCATGTGATGTTATAAATATCCTGGATATCCTGTGTCCTCTAATTTATTTTTCTGACAATATTTCCCATGTGATGTTATAAATATCCTGGATATCCTGTGTCCTCTAATTTATATTTCTGACAATATTTCCCATGTGATGTTATAAATATCCTGGATATCCTGTGTCCTCTAATTTATATTTCTGACAATATTTCCCATGTGATGTTATAAATATCCTGCATATCCAGTGTCCTCTGATTTATATTTCTGACAATATTTCCCATGTGATGTTATAAATATCCTACATATGCCGTGTCCTCTGATTTATATTTCTTATGATATTTCCCATGTGATGTTATAAATATCCTGCATATCCTGTGTCTTCTAATTTATATTTCTTATGATATTTCCCATGTGATGTTATAAATCTTCTCCATATTCTGTGTTCTCTAATTTATATATCTGACAAAATTTCCCATGTGATGTTATAAATCTCCTGCAATCCTGTGTCGTCTAATCTATAATTCTGATGATATTTCCCATGAAATGTTATAAATTTCTTTCATATCCCATCTCCTCCAGGTCAATCAATCAGTACATGTTCATGGAAGCCATGATCTATGCTGTGAAAAGGGTCAACGCGGACAACACAATCCTGAACAACGTCATGCTGGGCGGTCTTGGCATGGACGATTGCAGCAGCACAGTCTTAGGGCAGGCGCTTTTGTCGCAGGTGAGTGTGGTATTTTCCTTGGCTCCCAGGTCGACCCAGCCTACATGTTGACCATACCACTCATGGAGTGCTGATTCATCTGTACAAAATATATCTAGCATGATATGCCTGATTGAAAAGGGCCTTAAACTTTGTCATTTACTTTCAGTGAGTGTGGTGTACTTTCTCCTTATTCTTGATTGCTTTGGAAAGTTCTAGCTCAGTATATCTCAACTATTTTTGGCTTGCAGAGCTCTCTTTAGAATCAGTTTCTTTGACGGAACACCTTAGCTATGTTTTGTTTCTTAATCTTTAATTTCATTTTTATTTATTCTTGGTGCAGCCACAGAGCCCCTGGTTATTTGGAATGGAGTCCTTATGGCTCCATTATTCATCTGTGATAATTCTCACAGTCAGACACTGGTCTTCGGATATCCATTCTCTGACTTTCGCAGTTTACCAGCTTCATCTTTAATCTTTTCGACACCAGTTTTGAATTGTGAAAACTACCTCAAGCATTGATCTTCATAAACTTATCTCATAAATTCACCTGTCTTAAAAGCACTTTTCTGAGTTTGAAACAGAATTAAAGTTCACCCTTGGATCCATACAGCATACGTAACGACACAACTTTCCCTAGCTAAATAAAATGGCTTGCTAATTGTCGTTTGCTGACCGGGCATTGTTACGGTTTTGCCAGATCATAAATGAATGGTGCCTGTTTGGATGACATGCTTTGCTTCATGGATTGTATTTTTGTTTTGGACAAAAATCAGTCTTTTTCTTCTCCTTTTGTACACATTTTACAGTTTATCACACCGTACTGTGTCTTTACTCAGTATTCACACAATTGTCTTTACTGCTTAATTGGTTTGCTATGCATTACGTTAAATATATAATTAATTTGTGAAAAATTTAAAGTAGGAAGGTCAGAATGTAAGACACGCCTGCTTGCCTAATTTTTAGTAAGTTTTTTTAGTTACAGACACTGTAGATTTGCTGATTGTGTGCCATTTTACTAGGCAATATTATGTTCACTAGTTTGTCATTTAAACAGCATCGAAAGTCTATGGTTAAGCTCAAACAAGGAAATCAGTCAGGATTGTGAGAGCATGAATCTTCCCTGTAGCAGCACATGGATGTAAGGCTGGAGAAGAAAATAGATGCTTTTGAGCTGAAATGCAATAGAAAGATTCTCAGAATACCATGAACAAAGAAGAACAGAAATACTGGCATTCTAAAAGATCAGAACATCAAGGAAGATTTGCTCTTGTAAACAGAATCTTGTCTCAGAAATTGAAATAATTTAGTCACAGTGGAATAGAAAAAAATAATAGAAGAAAGCACATGATCACGAGAGAGGGGCAGTGGCTGACCAGCATGGAAATAAGCACAGGATATAAGTGACACTTTGTGTATGAAGGTACACGAGGGGTGAGAGTTGGCGAGAGACCACATTTTTTTCCCCTGGCAGACTGTGGTGAGAATGATATTTTGCAAAGAAACTGCTACATGATGAGTTTCCCCATTGCTTTTTTAAACAGTTTGTGCTCATACGGTTGTTGAAGTCAGTTTAAAGCTGTCTGCTGTCAAATTATTTGCTTCTTAATGAAACCTTGTATGTTAAAATTTTAAAACTGCATTCATAATTCCTAAACCATGAATATTGACAAAATTTTTTTCTTCTTTTGTCATCTTACTGATACCAGGTTATAGCCCAGTATCGTGGTTTTCGGGTAGCTTGGGTGATGGATTTGTTCATTTTTTTGCAAATTTCAGTTACACCATTTACCCATCTCCTTCTTACTCTTTCTCTCACCTTCTTCCCATATGTTCTGCTGTAAAAAATCTCATATGCAGTTTGGTCTGGCTGCATTGTTACTAGGTGGCTGAACCATTTCACCCCTGGCAACGCTACAGGACAGCAAAATAGAACACATTTGTTGATGGCTGCTTGGAATGTCAGCAGAATGGAAGACAAAGAAACGGAACTGGTAGAATTCATGATTTACACAAACTTTTAGCTGCATACATTGAACCGTTTTTTTAACATTACTAACATCGCTACTGCAACAGATTTACTGGTCACTGAAATATGTTAGGTAAAGGATCCTTTTCCACGCCTTTAGGCATATAGGGCTAGACCTATATTTTATAGACCAATCAGCACAAGATGGGTGATGTGGTCAGCATCACACTGGCCGCCTCTACTTCCCGGGACTGCACCAGGTACCCACTCAAGGCTGGGTCGACCTGGAAGCCAGGGTATTTTTGAAGAAAAGTCCGGCTTTTCCAGGGATCGAACCCATGACCTTTCGATCCGCGGCATGTGTCTAGCCGCTCTGCCACGGCGACTCCTACCGAAATATGTACCTTCATCAAATGGACATTAGTATAAAATAAACACATATAACTTTATTTCCCTGTGATTTATTGTTTGTATGATAGATAAGGAAGGTCCATACAAAATTTCATAAAGATCTGACCATATTAAGATATCTTTAACCATTGGCAAAAACTTGCATAATTTATGATTTTCCACTAGTCCCCCCCCCCCCCCCCCCCCCCATTAACTCATTAAAAAAATGTTCTTATTTTATGCATGGCAGGTGCAGAGAGGCAATCTGAAGATTGTAGACAAGTCTGGAAATGAACTGAACCCAAGGAAAATTGAGGCTTACTCGGCAGCTCACACTACTCAACTGACCCTTCCTCTGGCCGAAGCCATGAACATGTTGATGCGACCGATGGTGGGTTACCGGGCTGGCGGGTCACAGCTGGACGACAGATCCCGTTATCCTTACTACCTCCGAGCAGTTCCTGGTCATCAGGATGAGATCAAGGCTATCATCCAGCTTCTGAAAAAAAGGAATTGGATGTTTGTTCAGGTGAGGTAAAAATTAATGTTTTATGAGGCATTGTATGGCTTGATCAAATGGAGAAGTGTATGATTGGTTTAAATGTTAACCTTGTGGGTTGCTAAATGCTCACCTGTGGATCCGAAGGTTGTGGGTTGAAATCTGCATGGTGCCTGATTTTTGTCAAATATAACATAACCTTGGCTCCCAGGTCAATGCAACTTTAAATAGGTACCAGGTAAAGTCCTGGGAAGTAAAGGCAGCCAGTGTGATGTTGACCATGTCACTCATCAAGTTTTGATTGGTCTACATATAAATATGGATCTAGCCTTATATGCCTAATGCAGCAGTGGTGTGTAAAATGGCCAGTTTTTTTTTTTTTTTTTCTTTAACTTCACTTGTGGAGGTGTAAAATCTGTATCCAGCTGGATAATATCAGATATGAATCTCCATATGGATGTTTACTGAACAAGAATATAAAACTCCACTCCTTATGTAGTGAGAAGATTTCTGATATTATCAGATAAGGATAAAAAGCTAGGCGGTCGCCTGCATATATTTTGAATGTTAAAAACTCCTTTAATGTTTTAAAATAGTGAAAAGTACCAGCTGCTTTCCAGGCAAAATCATAAATTTGAAAAATCTTCTCATAAAAGATAAAATCTTCGTATTCTGTTATACAAGTAAATTCATGTGCTTGATTGGATTTCATTCATAATATCAAAAATATTGCTGGATTGGATTTCATCCATGATATCACAAGTATTGCTGGGTTAGATTTCATCCATGCTATTGGAAGTATTGCTTGGTTGGATTTCATCCAGGATGTTGACAATATTGTGCAGGATACAACACAGTGGAGGAATAGACTGGGAGCCACAGCCACCCCAAAAAGCATGTTGTAAAAGACAACTAATTAAATAATTAAATATTGTTTCCTCTGAATTTGAAATGCATCTGTCTGAGTGGTGAAGAACCAATAGTCTGCATACACGTAAGCCAGATCTGTAAAAATGATGTGCACACAAAATTCAAGTTCTGAAACAAGACTAAAGTCCAGATGGGGGTGAACAACCAGAACTTTCCACCGAAGGTCAATGTTAAAAAGACGAAGATAATTATGCTTGCTATGTGTCTTCATCAAGATTTAAAACTATAAAATTGAGATAATTTATGTCCGCAGGTTGTGACCTCAAATGCTGATTATTCACAAGATACAGAGAACATATTCAGAGAGCTTGCCTCAAGGGCGGGCATCTGCATTGTGGCCACGCACAATATTGGTCAGACTAGCCAAGATGCAGACGATGTTGTCATGGGTTTAAGTGTCAACCCTGGCGTCCCGCCAACTGTCGTTCTGTTGGAACCCCAAGATGTCCGCCGTCTCCTGGTAGCTTTCAACAGTAGCAGAAGTGCAAAGTTTGTCCTGATAGGGACTTCCCTTTGGGGAACAGATGATTTGCTTGTTAAGGATCTTCAGATTCTACCGGGCATTATTACTCTGAGGTGAGTGCTATTTCATAAGCTTCAGTTTTATTTTATTCTTCCCTTTTAAGTATCTTCACTGCTTGTCCATGAATTATTAATTTAATTTGAATAATATTATATTAACTTTAGTTTTATTTCACTCATTCTTCTCATGTGATCGGGAGTCACTGTGGTGGAGCGGCTAGACGCTCACCTCCGGATCGGAAGATCGCTGGTTTGCTCCCTGGCAGAGCCTGACTTTTGTCAAAAATGACCTTGGCTCCCAGGTCGACCCAGCCTTGAGTAGGTACCGGGTGCAGTCTCGGGAAGTAAAGGCAGCTGGCGTGATACTGACCACATCACCCATCTTGTGCCGATTGGTCTATAAAAATATAGGTCTAGCCCTATATGCCCTATTCGTTTAAAGGCGTGGAAAAGGGTCCTTTACTTTCTCATGTGATCTTCCCTGCTTATCCAAAAGTTATTCCTTAGATTTGAATATTAAATGAATCAGACCTTAACTATCTACTGTCACTTTTTTCCCCCTGTTATTCATATCTTCTTCCTGACATTACCTCTCAGTCTATATTGCAATTCTACTAGTTTGCCATTTTGGTTTTAACCCTGTCACTCGAGAAACCTAATTATAGTTACTTCCAGTTGTGACACAGTCCGCATAAATGCAGACACATCAGGAGAATTCTTTTTCTAACATCCCATGGCATGGATCTTTTGCAGTGGTTCTCAGCCCTATAATACAGTTCCTCATTTTGTGGTGATACCGAACAATAAAATTATTTTCATTGCTACTTCATAACTTCAGCGAATATGTGTTCTTCTATGGTCTTAGGTAACCCCTGTGAAATGGTCGTTTGACCCTCAAAGGGGTCGCGACCCACGGGTTGAGAACCGCTGATGTATTGGAACAATACATGTTAAATTCATTGAGAAACAAGGTCTGAAATGTTTCAACCACCCAGTGAGAATGAATCCAAGAATGGCAGCAGGATGTTTGTACAGTGTGAAACAAGAGGTAGAAGGAGGCCTAGAGGAAGATGAAGGAGTCACAGACAGCCTAAGACCAAGCAGCCAAGCCTGCCCTAGCTCAGCTACCGATCATCTATTCAATTGAATCAGTGTTTCCTTGGGATTTTTTTGTTCTTCTTCTTCATCATTCTGAGCCCTTGAGGTTCACTGTTGCAGATATAACTCACCTCCATTTATCTCTGTGATTAGTTCTCTCTTTCTTGTTGGCGACTTCAAGTGTTTACAAGTCCGCTTGTATTTTTTCTCTCCACCGTCTTTTTTGGTCTGCCTCATGGTCTACGAGTATTCAGTTTTTATCTCTCTGTCATCTGACATTCTCTCAATATGCCCCAGTCACATAAGTCTATTAGCTCTCGGAATGCCAGTGATCAGTGATGATTACAACAGATTATGAATTTTGTTGTTGTTTCTCACTCTTCCTTCCCCGCTGTGTGTATCTTTGATGGGTGCAAAGATTCGTTGTAAGACTGTTTTAATAAGGCTTTATCTCTTTTAGTTGTGCTTCAAGTTTCAGAGTCAAATAAACCAACGTTTTATCAGTGTTTTATATATTTTGATCTCAGTGTTGTGAGACAGATACTCTGACTTTAGCAGATGTTGTAGGGCATTATACTTTATTTTCATATTGTATTCTAGATTGTGTGTCTTCTCTTAGTGTGTTGGAGCAGTTGAAGTTTGTACCCAAGTACTTATTTGTTTTCCCTGGGGCTGAAGGAGTTAATTTTACATTTGATGCCACTTTATTTCATTTTCTCAGTGTTAAAAACTCCACCTTGGATACCTTTAAAACTTACCTGAGCAACCTGACTGTGAACACCTACACATTAAATCCCTGGTTCAAAGAGTGGTACACTGCTGCACACAACTGTAGTCTGGGAAGTCAGGGAACAGGACTCCCATGTAACCAGTCACAGCCAATCACAGCAGGGGTCAATTTCCGCTTGATGCATGAGGTAAAGCTGGGTTTTGTCAACTCTTTAAGAACAGTGCAACTCTCAGGACATTTATTGATTACTTTATATATGGTTGTTGTTGTTGTTTGTCCAAATGTATGTAAGTAGTATAGTACCCCACCAGGACATCACACAAAGCGATAAATACCCTGTGACAAAAAGTGCCACCATGCAGATTAGGATCACCCGTGGAGAGGTCGCGGGTTAATGTCACTTTTTCCTATAGGCCTTGATGATAGAGGTCACGTGGTCACGGCATGAGTCATCTGGTATAGATTTTTTTTTTAGACCCTGGGAAAGGTCTTCCATATAACACCCTCTTCATGTTTATTGCTTACTCCCTTTATATTTGAAATAGAGGGGCAGGGGTGGGGGAGGGGGAGTGTTGTGTGTAAAAAAAATTGTAGATAAATAAGTGTTTTAAAAAGTTGATTAGTCATCTGTGTAAAAGAAATTTGTTTACAAACTTTTGTTGTTTGAGTGGGGGAAAAAAAAGGTTGGCAGTACAGGAGCTCTGATCTGATCCATGGTATTGGTGATCATATGAGACTAAACCATCTCTAACAAAATACTTTTGTACTGACAGAGTTAACAGCTCAATCTATAGCCATTTCTGTGTTGTTCCTTTAGGTTGAGGGTGTCATCAACGCTATTAGAGCCATAGGGTTTGGATTGGACAGCGTGCTCCGCAGCGTCTGCGGTAACAATTACAACTCTATCTGTAGTGACTTCCTCACTTACAAGAACAAAGGGATGGTGTTTCTGGAAGCAATTAGAGGTGTCACCTTCAGCATTGAAGACATGGCCTCACCAAATACATTCAGTTTTATGGGAAACTCCGCTGCAATTCCTTTTGATGTCAATAACTATTTCAACAGGAATTATCACTTGGTAAGTCAGAAATTATCAGTTACTTTGTTCTGTTTAAAATTATAAAATAGGTATTAACCTTTTAACTTTAAAAAAAAGTAGTTGAAAATATTTTTAAAGTTAACACATCAATAATATTTAATAAAGTTAACTTTAAACAATTGGGAATTATTGTTTAATATAAACATTTTGTTTTGAAAAAGTAATAATTTTATGTTTATAACCTTTTTCAGTCTTGTGCAACATGAGATGCATAACATACTTTTCCACGTGAATCCAAGGCATAGCGTAACTTGTTAATCCAATTTTAATAATAGTCTCACAGCACACTAAAGAAATCAGGCTTCCATAATGGTTATATCAGCTGCTTGTTTGTCTGGTCTTTCTTTCTTTCTTTCTTTCTTTCTTTCTTTCTTTCTTTCTTTCTTTCTTTCTTTCTTTCTTTCTTTCTTTCTTTCTTTCTTTCTTTCTTTCTTTCTTTCTTTCTTCTTTCTTTCTTTCTTTTTCTTTCTTTCTTTCTTTTTCTTTCTTTCTTTTCTTTCTTTCTTTCTTTCTTTCTTTCTTTCTTTCTTTCTTCTCTTTCTTTCTTTCTTGCTTTCTTTCTGTCTTTCTTTCTTTCTTTCTTTCTTTCTTTCTTTCTTTCTTTCTTTTTGTCTTTCTTTCTTTCTTTCTTTCTTGCTTTCTTTCTTCTTTCTGTCTTTCTTTCTTTCTTTCTTTCTTTCTTTCTTGCTTTCTTTCTTTCTTTTATCCGTCAACTGCATCACTTATATGTTATATATTTGTCAGCAGGGGGACTCAATAAAAGCTGTAACCAGAAACGTAATCTGTTAACCATTTTGTTTCCTGGGGTGGGGTGTCAACACATAGATTAACTTAATGTCCCTGCCTGTGGCGAGTTTCTTCTTCCAAGGACATCACCTGGTAGCCATTTGGGGAACATAATAGATTTAACATTGATGTGTGTATATGTATATATGTTTCTCAATCTCTTTCTCTCTCTCTCTCCCTCCCTCTCTCTTTCTTAGTGTGTACATGTGTTTATGTGGGTGTGTGTGTTTTCTTTACCAATACTAAAGAGATACAGGTATTACCCTTGTGTTTTCCCTGTGTTTTAGAGCCAAAGTAATATCAGTTTTCACCTTCTTTTTTGTGTGTTTAAATCTAGGTTGGAGAGATAAATCTATGGGCAGGTACCATGACCTTGGGTGCAATACAAGTCTATGATAATCAAAATGCAGACGTAGTTATGCCAAAGTGTACCTCCCCCTGCACCGAGTGCCTCTTTATGGCCAATTACTTCGACTACTGGTACATTCCAGGAGACCTCATCATTGGCGGCATATTTGACATCCACAAATCTGGTAACGGACCTTTCTCATGTGGGGCTTTGAAGGTGAAAAACGGTGCCCTGTACACCGAAGTATTCAACTTTGCACTGCAAAAAATCAACAGCGGCACTGCTTCAGTTAAGTTGAATAATGTAAGTTTGGGTGGGCTGGCCTTCGATGGGTGCACCAGCCCTCACAGAGCAAAAGCAATAGTGAACCGTGTTCATACTGGAATGAACATCATGGATTCCATGGGCAACATGTTTATGAGGTCTAATTTGATATCATGGATGAGCTATGACAGTCAAACAACTATCGACACTGCCTCTCTGGTACAGAAAATAATAATGCCACTTGTTAGCCCTGGAGCCACTGCAAGTGAGCTTGATGACAAGAAGAAATACTATACCTTCTTCCGGACAATTCCATCTGATTCTGTTGTGGTCAGAGGTATGGCGGAGTTTGTTCAGCAGATCGGGAAAAAATATGTTATTGTTTTAAATGCACCAGATACCTCCAGTCGAGAGTCTAGAGACCTTTTCCGGAAGTATCTTGCTGAATATGGAATCTGTATTGTTGCCAGTTATGAGTTTGTTACAGATGGAAGTATGAATGCAATCGTGAGCAATATTGATAATGCTCAGACGCAACTTGTAGCCGTGTTTGCCGAACCAGAAATGTACATCAATGATTTACTAGCAGCCAAAAATAATGACGTCCAGGACAACCCCTTTGTTTACATATCCAACCGCCCGTGGAAGTTTGCTCCATTGCAGACAATCAGGGTGGTTAACTCTGTCTTCTTTGACCTGAATGCTCCAACTATCGCTGAATTCAAAACTTACCTTGACAGCAGGAGGATTGGCAACACCAACCCTTGGTTCTCGGAAATTTACCAAGAGGTCTTGAACTGTGACATACCTGGAAATTTACGTGGCAGAAGCAGATGCTCTAATGTGTAAGTATCAAATCACAGTGATGGCTCTCACTCTCTCTCTCTGTCCCTCTCTCTCTCTCTTTCTGTCTCTCTCTGTCTTTCTGTCTCTCTCTTTCTCTCTGTCTCTCTCTCTCTCTCTCTGTCTCTCTTTCTCTCTGTCCCTCTCTCTGTCTGTATCTCTATCTCTCTCTCAGTCCCTCTCTCTCTCTCAGTCCCTCTCTCTCTCTCTGTCACTCTCTCTCTCTGTCTCTCTCTGTCTCTCTTTCTCTCTGTTTCTCTCTGTCTCTCTCTCTCAGTCCATCTCTCTCTGTCCCTCTCTCTGTCTGTCTCTCTCTCTTTCAGTCTCTCTCTCTCTTTCTTTCTGTCTCTCTCTGTCTCTCTTTCTCTCTGTCTCTCTCTCTTTCTTTCTGTCTCTCTCTGTCTCTCTTTCTCTCTGTCTCTCTCTCTCTCTCTCTCTCAGTCCCTCTCTTTATCTGTCTCTCTCTCTCTGTCCCTCTCTCTCTCTCTGTCACTCTGTCTCTCTGTCTCTCTGTTTCTCTCTGTTTCTCTTTGTCTCTCTCTCTCTCAGTCCCTCTCTCTCTGTCCCTCTTTCTGTCTGTCTCTCCGTCTTTCTCTGTGTGTGTGTGTGTGTCCACGTACATATGAGTCTTCTCATTTTCTTTCTTCTTCTCCTTCTCATTTGTCTTCTCTTCTTCTTCAATTTCTCTTTGACCGCTTCAATTGTCATGGGAGATATACGGTTCTGCTTCTTGCTTTACTGGCTGCCTTGACCACAGACCCATCGTGCTGTTGTAGTTTTTTCTGATGTATTCTTTTCATTTTGTTCTTAGTCTGCTTTCTGCTCTACGTCCTTCTCCTAAAAAATCCTTTGGCAGTTAGAAAACGAAAAGAGTAGCCTAACGACACTGTCCGGGGAAAATTTGGAGTTAAAAATGTACCCAAAAGTATTTCAGGATCCTGGCCGGTGCTACAGAGCCTGTGCACTGTGCTCAGCTTCTTCGGACTCAGACTTAAGTAAGCAGAAGAACAGAGCACTTATGGGTTACTAATTTCTGGTTGTTTGCCAACTTCTAGACTTTGATCTTGTACCAGAACTTGAGTTTTGCATGCACATCCATTTGACAAATCTCACTTATTAATGTGCAGACTGCTAGTTCCTTGCCTTTCAGGCAGATGCCCTCGGGCTTTGAAGGAAACATAATTAACTATTCGTCACCTATGACATGCTTGTTAAGGGGGCAGTAGGTCTGTTTTTTGTTTTTGTTCCCCCAAAATGGGGCCCTAGAACAGACATCAGGGGGGAGTTTACTTTTAAGGCAGGAGGTTTGTGTCTGTCTTTATCTAGTTCTTCTCTTTTGACCTGTCTGACATGGGACTTTCCATAGTTATGCTAACTGCATAGCTCTTTGGTGTTGAAAATCACAAATAAAATAACCACTTCCACCTCAAAGTGGAGAGGGATACATCAGAGGAAAAGTCATCCGTCTTATTTCTTTCTTTCTTTCTGTCTTTCTTTTTTCTTTCTTTCTTTCTTTCTTTCTTTCTTTCTTTCTTTCTTTCTTCCTTTCTTTCTGTCTGTCTTTCTTTCTTTTTGTCCTTCTCTCTTTCTTTCTCTTTCTTATTTTCTTGTTTTTCTCTTTCTTTCTGTTCCTTTCTTTTTTTTTCCTTTTATGTTAATTTTATCTTTCTTTCTTTCTTTCTTTCTTTCTTTCTTTCTTTCTTTCTTTCTTTCTTTCTTTCTTTCTTTCTTTCTTTCTTTCTTTCTTTCTTTCTTTCTTTCTTTCTTTCTTTCTTTTCTTTCTTTCTTTCTTTTCTTTTTTCTTTCTTTCTTTCTTTCTTTCTTTCTTTCTCTTTCTTTCTTTTCTCTTTCTTTCTTTCTTTTCTTTCTTTCTTTCTTTTTCTTTCTTTCTTTCTTTCTTTCTTTCTTTCTTTCTTTCTTTCTTTCTTTTTCTTTCTTTCTTTCTTTCTTTCTTTCTTCTTTCTTTCTTTCTTTCTTTCTTTCTTTCTTTTTCTTTCTTTCTTTCTTTCTTTCTTTCTTGCTTGCTTTCTTGCTTTCATTACTTTTACAAAAGTTCTGACAATTTGCTTTCAATTGTCAGGTCAATCACAACAGGTAATTGGGAGCAAGATATTTGGACCTTGTCCACAATCAATGCAGTTTATGCCCTAGCACAAGGTGTGCATAGAACACTTCAGACAAAGTGTGGCGCCACCTATACCAGTGTTTGTGCCGAGTTTATGTATGACGGCAACATCCACAATACCATCATGAGCAACATGGACGCGGAGAACTTCACAGACATCACTACCAGTTTCTTCCAGTTTATTCAAAGGGAGGCCAACACCAAGTACCAGCTCAAACGCTTTGAAAGTTCCACCTCAGTTGTGCCAGAGGTAAATTTAAAGTTATATCCCTTTGTTTTATTATGATAGCCCACAGTTGTATGCTGCCTACAGTGTGGCATACATTGCTTTGAAGGTTTAGAATAGTTGGCATCTCTCAGATTTTTTTCTGCAGGGCATACCTTTAAGGTGAGAAATGAAAAAGCAGGCTAGTGATGCATGACAAGAGGGATGTAGTTGAGGTCTTTTAGGAGTACGTAATCAACTGGAAAGAACCAAGAGGGGATCATAGTCTAAAAAGAATGATGTACATCAGGGGTGGGCTGGGGGGAACAAGATGCTGTTTACGAGCCAATCTTCCTTGATAGTCAGATCTTTTAGGATGTCAGTTTGTATTTTCTTCTTGCTCCTTGGTATTCTGAGAATCATTATGAAACATTTTATTCAAAAACCTCTGTTTTCTTCCTTAACCCTTTCATGGCTGCATTTTTTTCTGGGGTTTGGACATAATAAATTTTGAGCTTTTTTTTTTTCAAACTACAACATGACAAAGCTAAAACCTCCCTGAAGAAAAAAGTATTGTTGATTAGTGACATATAATGTCTCAAATTAAAGAGATTTTGTGGGACATATCAAATTTTAGAAAAACCAGTCATAGCTTATCGAAATAAATAAATACTATCCAACTGAAAGGTTTTCTTCAACTTCATCCCAACCCATATTGCTGGAATCTGAGTCATCACCAGAATTACCTTTTTCTTCATCTTACAACCGCTGCACAAGACGAAAGCCTGAGTTTTTATCATTGTTTGCTCTCTCTAGTCGGCTTTGTGGCTAAGTGGATGCGAACCCTTCGTAATGCCGGGGTGCTGGCTTTGATCCCAGCTGCGGGCCATGCGTCTTGCGTTGGTTTTGACAGTGGTATCAGGGAGCTGACCTTCCAGAAAGCAATGGCAAACTATTGGACGTAAATTTGCCTAGAGAAACCACACAACAGCCAGGGGCTGCTGGGGTTGGTTCTACAACATCTTGTAAAGGCTACGCAACTAACCTTTTGCTCTCTCTACAGTAGATGTTAAAAGCTTGAAAGCTACCATTTTAGAAAAGTCAAACAAAACATTGTATAGTACTGATTTAATTATAGTAAAGCAAGGAAAATAATCAACTTACTCGCCCACGCTTGGAAAACACAAATACTTCATTTTGCTAATTCTAGCTTTTCAAAACAGGTTCATACAAATTATTTTCCTAGCAACAACAACAAAATATTAGAGTGTCTGTGTCAGCAGCCACTGAAACAGTTATATGTCTAAGCATGACCGATTCTGCTACCCTCTAAACAACGATTTTTCTGGAAAGAGTTAATAACTACGAGACAGTCCACAACTCACATTCATATATTGCTACAGGGAAGATATATGCCCTCAAAATGTTGACCTTGATTTTCTTTACTGGTGCTTAACTATAGACTTGTAATGCTCAGAAGGATACAGCCATAATTTTGTTGGCCATAGATGGGGAAACATCTCACTCTCCATTCACTGCTGTTTGCATCTTTGATGGGTCTAAATATTCATCGTAAGACTCTGTTTTCGAAAACCTGTAATAAGACTTCATCTCTTTTAGTTGTGCTCCAAGCTCAGTGGAATTCATAATCTGTTTAAATCACCACTGATCACTGGCATCATGAGAGCTAATGGACTGACATGATTGGGACTTTTTGAAAGAATGTCAGATGACAGAGAAGTAAAAACTATACACCAGGGAGATGAATGGTTGTAGACCATGAAGGAGACCAAGAAGAATATTGAGAGATAATGTCCAGACAGACCTGCAAACACTTGGTGTTACCAACTGGAAAGAGAAGGCCAACCAGAGAGATGAATGGAGGTGGGTGATATCTGCAGCAATGAACCTCAAGGGATTGGAGGGCAGAAGTAGATAGACGGAAAAATTAGAACATGTGGCCACTGGATTATTTCTGGACAGAGAGAGATAGAGGAAAATAACATGACGTGATTCAATTTTCACTTCGATACCAAACACTCGAAAGTCGCCATGTGTAAAGCTGATACCGCAGTTAATATAAATGAATCACTTTCAGTGTTTCAAAGTAGGAGATTTCTCAGCGGATCTAGGCGAAACACGATCGGGCCGATCATCGGCCGTTCCGTGTTTTTAGCCAGACATCCTCCGGCCGATAATCGGCCCGTCCGTGCTAAGAGGGTTAATGGCCATTTTTCACGACAGGGAGGGGTATCAGCTCATGAGCTGATAAATTCTGAAGATTGCAGGTTATAAAGAGGCATGACCACCCAGGTAAGTCATAAAGGTACTTGATGATGATGATGATGATGATGTGTATTTAACCTTGTGTTATGTATGTTGTATTATCACAATTAAAAATCACTACTGATTGGGCTATTCCGTTTCTTTTTTGTTTGCAGGGATCCCTGGACACAGTGGGTCATCTGACTCTGCAAAATGTGGCCACTACCGTAGGTCGCTATAAACCAGTGATGTCAGAATGCACCGGGGATTGCCTGGTCTGCAGCACTCAGATTTCAAATTTTCAAGACTTCAATCTTGTGCCGGGAGATTTTTACATCATAGGTAAGAATACACACATTATTTTAAACAGTCTTTCGATGAATCATTGGACCCATCAAAGATGCAGACAGCATTGACTGGATAGTGAGATTGAAGATTGAATTCATTCTTTCTTTCTATTGTCCGTTTTCTACTTGGTGCCACTAGGTGACGCAGGTTAACAGATGATCCGATTTCTGCGCTAGGTTGTCTGGTATGCTGTGATATTGTGGAGTCTCAGGTTGTCACTGACTCCTACAGTCCATCTTGAAATTCATAATTTTTTTTAAATCAACACTGAACACTGACATCATGAGAGTTATTAGACTGAAGTGGCTGTGGCATGCTGAGAGACTGGCAGATGACAGAGAGGCAAAAACTGTGTACCCAAGGGAGTTGAATGCACATGGAGTTGAATGGACATAGACCATGAGGCAGATCAAGAAGATGGTGGAAAGATAATATCCAAGCAGCCTTACAAACATTTGGAGTCGCCTTCTGGAAAGAGGACCAGTCACACATAAATGGAGGTGGGTGATATCTGCAGTAATGAGCCTCAAGGGACAGAATGCTGAAGAAGAAGAAGGTATGAATACATCACTTCCATAGTGAAGTGGCAAAGTCACTTGCCTCTTGCTATGAAGGTTGTGAGTTTGGTTTTCTACTCCATTCTTTTGTTTACAAATGTTTTGGAGATTCTTGGAGGTCATCAGGATTCACCATGAGGTGTTGTGGGGAGGTGCACTTTATGTTCCAGTATCATGTAAGAAAAATGTAACCAGATAAATCCCATCCCATAAACTGCCAAAACAAGCTTGCAGCCTTTGATTATTATGATTATGATCAATAATTTTTGTCATTTTGGAGATTTAATCCTCATCTAATGTTATATTCTAAACACATATGTGGATTTATAATGTTGTGTTGTAAGCATATATTGTTATATTGTAAACATATACTGTGAACATATAATATAATATTGTAATCTTCATCGTCATCATCATGTAGCAGGTTCTTTGCAGAACTTTGCTCTCATCACGGTCTCCTTGAAAGAAACTTGGTCTCTCGCCAGCTTTTCCTCCTCATGTACTTTTATACTCAAGAAGTTACTTATATTCTGCGCCCATCTTCATGTCGGTCGGCCCCTGCTCCTCCTTCCTGTAAACATATATTGTAGATATGTAATGTTAATATATGTATAATGTAAGATGTATAATGTTATATTGTAAACGTATATTGTTGACATATAATGTTGTATTGTGAACATATATTATAAATATAATGTTATATTACAAAACATACAAGTATTGTATATTGTGGATTAATGTTGTAAGCATATATAGGGGGACATGTATTGTTATGTTGTAAGCATATATTGCAAACATGTAATTTGAGTCTATTATTATTATCCTAGGCTTGTTTGACATCCACAAACAAGGAACAACACCTTTCACTTGTGGAGCTGTCAATGAAAAGCATGGTCTTCTCCTTCAGGAAGCCTTCAACTACGCTCTGGAGCTTGTCAACTCAAAAGTTGGAATTTTCCAGTAGGTTTCTTCTGTATTACCCTATGTTTTTATTGTTATCAATATTTGTAATGCATAAAAGGTAACAAGATAGTGGAATAATAGGTGAGAATGATGAATTAAAGCTTTAATGAAATTCATAATCTATTTTTAAAATCCTTAATGTCAGAGACAGAAGATGCAGATTTGCAGGACATCGGAGCCTCTTTTGGCAGTGTTGAAATTTCACAAGCTAGCTTGGTTCAGGCACGTGGTGAGACAAGATTTGATTGCAAAGACGGTACTTCAGTGCACATTAGTGACAGTTGAAGAAGAGGAGGGCAAAGAAGAATCTGAAATGACAACATCAAGAAATGGACAAGACTGAGTTATCGTACACTTATTTATCAAGAGGAAGACAGAGAATGGTGGCGGGTTTTATGTGCTAGTGCTTCTGTCGATACACCTCCATGACCCTAACCGGTCAAGGGTACGGTTGATACACCTCCATGACCCTAACCGGTCAAGGGCACGGTTTATACACCTCCATGACCCTAACCGGTCAAGGGTACGGTTGATACACCTCCATGACCCTGACCGGTCAAGGGTACGGTTGATACACCTCCATGACCCTAACCGGTCAAGAGTAAGGTTGATACACCTCCATGACCCTAACCGGTCAAGGGAACGGTTGATACACCTCCATGACCCTAACCGGTCAAGGGTACGGTTGATACACCTCCATGACCCTAACCGGTCAAGAGTAAGGTTATGTTAATGTCTAGCATTATGATGGCTAATAGACTGCAATGATTAGTGTATATAGTGAGAATGGCAGATAACAGAGAGATGAAAACTGTTCAAAAAATAGCTGACTAGATGTAAAGCCAGACCAAGAAGATGGTGGAGAGATGGCATTTAGACAGACCTACAAACACTCAGAGTTACAACCCGAAATTTAAAAAAAAAATTGCAGGGATAAGTACAGGTGGATGATTTCTGCAGCAAAAAACCTTCAGCATCACCTTAGAAGTCAGAAAAAACAACAATTATTTCTGTGCTAAGAAACTGCAAGATTTTATAGCTAATACTTGTTTAACTTAGATGTCTCTCTCATCATTATCATCATCATAAAGTGCCTTGTTGACTACGTTGGGTTATCCTGCCTCTCCACAATTTGCAATCTTCGACAGCATGTACCAATTCATGTTCTGACACCCATCCTTGTTAGACAAAAAGCTGTCAAGCATTGTTTCATGTTGTCTTACTCTGTCTCTTTTACTGCAGATCGTTCCAGTATTCACAGCTTGTTCCCCTTTTCCTTTTCTCATAACATGACCCCCAAACAATGATGACTCTTGCCCAATGTTGTCTTTAAGCCTTCACTTTTTTTCTCTAAACATCTGTATTGCTGTTTTTGACTGTCCCTGGATTTCTAAGTATTCTTCTGTAAAACCACATCTCAAAACTGTTTTATGTTAATGCCTTCTTCTCCTCCTCTTCCTCCTTCTCCTTCTTCTTCTTCTTCTTCTTCTTCTTTGCTCTCATTGGCTATAAACTCCAGTGAAAAGTTCTGGCTGTTCATCCACATCTGAACTTTACTCTTAATCCAGAACTTGAGTTTTGTATGCACATCCAGTTTACAGTTTAGGGCTTATTTGTACACAGACTATTGGTCTCTGTCCTCTCAGGTAGATTCACTGACTTTGAAAGAATCACCCATAATTAGTCAGCTTTTGCAATACGCTTGTTGGTGTCAATAATTTTTTCTATTCTCAAAATGCGACCACAGACCCAAAACTGGGAGGGGTCAAATCCAAAAGAAGTGAGAAGTCAGCCATTTTAGTTCTCCTGGTATAATCTAATACCGCACATGTTTGACTTTTACAGGAAAATATAACAAGGAGCTATGAGTTAGAATATCTTCACAGCACTCCGGACACATACATAGGCGCTCAGATTCCCCTCTCAACATATTCATCAGCGTCGTGCGGTTAATAGTGCCAGTCCTATGTTGGTTAACAAGACTTTGTGTGTGTCCAGTGTGCTTCTCATGCTTGGCTGTGCCGATCTTTACTCCCAATTCGCGTATTCTTAGAAGTGATGTGGACATGTTGCTTCCAAAATCCTCAGAACGTCCTATCTCTCTAAGGGCAATGACAATGTCTTCGTAATCCATGGGCCGGTCTTGGTCATATTCAATTAATGCAGTGCCTGCCAGTCTATCAGCTCTCTTATTACCAACAATGCCAACAAGGAGTGGCGCTAGGTGATGTCCAAGAGACAGCGGGCTGTGGACAGTATATGATTACCAACACCCCCCAGTCTAGACTATAAGTAAAGTTAAGGTCCCTTTACATGCTATTGGTGCATCGGGCATGTGAGGCCACACTCATGGGTGATGTGGTCACCATCACGTCGTTTGGACTATAAACTGAATAATAAATTCGCACCCACAAGACTGAACAATTTCAAATGACTTGATGTATATTAGGATATTAGATGCTGATCTAGCTGCTTTTTTAGTCTGCTTTTGTCTCAGACATGTTGGTGTTACCTTTCCTTTGGAGTAAACAAAGCAGGCAGAGAGAGAGAGAGAGAGAGAGATGATGCATGAGCCACACACTGTCTCTAATAAACTGCCTGTGCTTTGTGCTGTGGAAACAAGCAGGCATGTTTTGCCAGTCACACTCACCATCCATGGGATGTGTTTCCCCGTGCCTCACCATAGCAAGCACATTATAACACTCGTCATCATCAGCAAAAACCACCTCTGCCATTGAGCGCCATGCGGAGCAATAATTTGCAATCCGGTACAGGTTTGCTGATACCGGCTGTTGTCATGCTGTGTTGTGGCACAAAGTCCTTAATGTTGTTGATCCATATTTTTTGTGGCCATTTTCTTGCTCTTGTAGCTTATCTGTGATGTAGTACCTAAGATGATATTTGATGTTGCAGCATTTCAGCAAGATGGTTAAATTGTTTGATCTGCTGTTTCTCGGTGAATCTAGTACAAATAAAGTGTTGTTGCCACACTCTGTCTGATAGTATTGTTATTCACTCGATCTCCAATGGTTAGGTTAGTGGCTTTTCTCAGGGATCTCATTGCAAGTGATTTTGTGTACATGAGCTGTAGATAAGGATTAATTGTCTTGGTAATCTTAGTTTCAGCTTCATAGCAAACGGGTCACCCCATAGTTGCTCCGCTCCTATGCCAACGAAAAACACACAGAATGTTTATCACAGTCCGTTGTGGAAAGATTGACAGGCTGCTGTCTCAGCAAATGCACTAGCATACACACGCATTAAAGCATACGGTAGCCATCAGAAGTGCCAACACAAACAGTTTGACATCAGAAATGCAGTTCATCCTCGACGGTAGCAGAAGTCGCCAACAGATCAGCAGTTGCACACACAATCAATATTAATCATGTAAGGGCACCACCAATATTGCGGCAACTGGCTACTCGCCATTTTCTGAATCTACAGTTCACAATGCCATGTTAGTCACAGTCGAAGAACATTCCAAAGGAAATCTGCAGTTCACAGTGTCGCCCCATGCACTTAGCTCAGTAGCTGGGTGACGAAACTATATCCTTTCAGTCTACAAATGGAGCGAAAATGCAACGGCCACCGTCTGGCATAAGCAAAAAAAATTTGCTGCGGCTCAAAATAGTGACCGTGCCTAGCATCCATTTTGACCGGAAGCCTCCAAAGGATTAATTATAACACTGTTATCTGAAAAGACGGGAAGGTGGCAATTAAATCAGTATTTCAATTTAATCGAATACCATGAACATTTATCTCGTACAGGAATGTGCTACGAGGAGTGGTGCTTGGTGGTATTTCCTTTGACATCTGCCAGTCCCCTAGCAGAGCTGCAGAAATTGTAGCTAATATACACAGTGGCAACATACAGATTGCCAAAGATGGTGTCGTGGTGTCTACTCGAAGGATCGACGCTTACGTTGCCACCATGGACACTGAGTCCTCGATTCGTGTAGCAGACATTCTCACCCAGCTGGATATACCTCAGGTAAGACTGTCTTCTTCACATTTTTGATCTGCAGTAGAAGCTGGAGACCGGAACTCTCCAGTCTTCTCTGCCGTCTTAGATTTTTAATGAAGTTGATGTTTCTTATTTTATTATTTGTCACCGGTGGTTTCAGCTTTTCACATACATCTTTCTCTTGTCTTTCCTTGCTTTACTTGCCTAAAATAACTATCCATATTGTTCTTTCTGTCTTCCTTTGCTTTATTTACCTAATATTACTTGCCACATTGTTCTTTCTATCTTCCCTTGCCTAATATTACTTGCCACATTGTTCTTTCTATCTTCCCTTGCTTTATATTACTTTCATATTGTCATTTCTGTCTTCCCTTGCTTTATTTACCTAATATTACTTGCCACATTGTTCTTTCTATCTTCCCTTGCTTTATATTACTTTCATATTGTCATTTCTGTCTTCCCTTGCTTTATTTGCTTAATATTACTTTCCATATAGTTCTTTCTGTCTTCCCTTGCTTCACTTGCCTAATATTACTTTCCATATTGTCATTTCTGCCTTCCCTTGCTTTATTTGCCTAATATTACTTTCCATATAGTTCTTTCTGTCTTCCCTTGCTTCACTTGACTAATATTACTTTCCATATTGTCATTTCTGTCTTCCCTTGCTTTATTTGCCTAATATTACTTTCGATATAGTTCTTTCTGTCTTCTCTTGCTTTATTTACCTAATATTACTTTCCATATAGTTCTTTCTGTCTTCCCTTGCTTTATTTGCCTAATATTACTTTCCATATAGTTCTTTGTCTTCCCTTGCTTTATTTGCCTAATGTTACTTTCCATATAGTTCTTTCTGCCTTCCCTTGCTTTATTTACCTAATATTACTTTCCATATTGTTCTTTCTGTCTTCCCTTGCTTTATTTGCCTAATATTACTTTCCATATAGTCCTTTGTCTTCCCTTGCTTTATTTGCCTAATATTACTTTCCATATTGTTCTTTCTGCCTTCCCTTGCTTTATTTACCTAATATTACTTTCCATATTGTTCTTTCTGCCTTCCCTTGCTTTATTTGCCTAATATTACTTTCCATATTGTTCTTTCTGCCTTCCCTTGCTTTATTTACCTAATATTTCTTTCCATATTGTTCTTTCTGCCTTCCCTTTCTTTATTTGCCTAATATTACTTTCCATATAGTTCTTTCTGTCTTCCCTTGCTTTATTTACCTAATATTACTTTCCATATAGTTCTTTCTGTCTTCCCTTGCTTTATTTGCCTAATATTACTTTCCATGTGGTTCATCCACTGTTGTCCCCTGCTAATGTAAGAAAGCTGTATAAACTTGTACTTTCAGGTTAGCTACGGTGCCAAAGGCATGGATTTACTGAACAGAAAGAAGTACTCCTACTTTCTGCGGTCTGTTCCAGCGGATGACAAGCAAGCACGGGCCATGGTCTCCTACCTGAAAAAGTTCAACTATAACAACATCCAGGTGAGTTTTGAATGAGGTGGGATAGGAAAGAACAGTAGCATAGAGCATGGTAATGGGTAAGAGAGGCAGGGGCTGACCATTAGTGGAGGGCATGGTAATGGGTAAGAGAGACAGGGACTGACCAGTAGTGGAGGGCATGGTAATGGGTAAGAGAGACAGGGACTGACCAGTAGTGGAGGGCATGGTAATGGGTAAGAGAGGCAGGGACTGACCAGTAGTGGAGGGCATGGTAATGGGTAAAAGAGGCAGGGGCTGACCATTAGTGGAGGGCATGGTAATGGGTAAGAGAGGCAGGGACTGACCAGTAGTGGAGGGCATGGTAATGGGTAAGAGAGGCAGGGACTGACCAGTAGTGGAGGGCACGGTAATGGGTAAGAGAGGCAGGGGCTGACCAGTAGTAGAGGGCACAGTAATTGGTAAGAGAGGCAGGGACTGACCAGTAGCAGAGGGCACGGTGATGTGTAAGAGAGGCAGGGACTGACCAGTAGCAGAGGGAACGGTGATGGGTAAGAGAGGCAGGGACTGACCAGTAGTGGAGGGCATGGTAATTGGTAAGAGAGGCAGGGACTGACCAGTAGTGGAGGGCATGGTAATTGGTAAGAGAGGCAGGGACTGACCAGTAGCAGAGGGAACAGTAATGGGTAAGAGAGGCAGGGACTGACCAGTAGTGGAGGGCATGGTAATTGGTAAGAGAGGCAGGGATTGACCAGTAGCAGAGGGCACGGTGATGGGTAAGAGAGGCAGGGACTGACCAGTAGTGGAGGGCACGGTAATGGGTAAGAGAGGCAGGGGCTGACCAGTAGTAGAGGGCACAGTAATGGGTAAGAGAGGCAGGGACTGACCAGTAGCAGAGGGCACGGTGATGTGTAAGAGAGGCAGGGACTGACCAGTAGCGGAGGGAACGGTAATGGGTAAGAGAGGCAGGGACTGACCAGTAGTGGAGGGCATGGTAATTGGTAAGAGAGGCAGGGACTGACCAGTAGTGGAGGGCATGGTAATTGGTAAGAGAGGCAGGGACTGACCAGTAGCAGAGGGAACAGTAATGGGTAAGAGAGGCAGGGACTGACCAGTAGTGGAGGGCATGGTAATGGGTAAGAGAGGCAGGGATTGACCAGTAGTGGAGGGCATGGTAATGGGTAAGAGAGGCAGGGATTGACCAGTAGCAGAGGGCACGGTGATGGGTAAGAGAGGCAGGGACTGACCAGTAGCAGAGGGCACAGTGATGGGTAAGAGAGGCAGCGACTGACCAGTAGTGGAGGGCACGGTGATGGGTAAGAGAGGCAGGGGCTGACCAGTAGCTGAGGGAACGGTAATGGATAAGAGAGGCAGGGACTGACCAGTAGCAGAGGGAACGGTAATGGGTAAGAGAGACAGGGACTGACCAGTAGTGGAGGGCATGATAATTGGTAAGAGAGGCACAGACTGACCAGTAGTGGAGGGCATGGTAATTGGTAAGAGAGGCAGGGACTGACCAGTAGTGGAGGGCACGGTGATGGGTAAGAGAGGCAGGGACTGACCAGTAGTGGAGGGCATGGTAATTGGTAAGAGAGGCAGGGGCTGACCAGTAGTGGAGGGCATGGTAATTGGTAAGAGAGGCAGGGGCTGACCAGTAGTGGAGGGCATGGTGATGGGTAAGAGAGGCAGGGACTGACCAGTAGTGGAGGGCATGGTAATTGGTAAGAGAGGCAGGGGCTGACCAGTAGTGGAGGGCATGGTGATGGGTAAGAGAGGCAGGGGCTGACCAGTAGTGGAGGGTATGGTGATGGGTAAGAGAGGCAAGGACTGACCAGTAGCAGAGGACACGGTGATGGGTAAAAGAGGCAGGGACTGACTAGTAGCAGAGGTCACGGTGATGGGTAAGAGAGGCAGGGGATGACCAGTAGTGGAGGGCATGGTAATTGGTAAGAGAAGCAGGGGTTGACCAGCATGAAGGTCGAATCAGAATTTAAGAGATACCTAGGGCGTGAGATTGTATGAGGCAGGAGAGCTTGCGAGAGACAGGTTTTCTATTAGGCAGGCTGTGATGGGAGCGACGTTCTGTAAAAAACCTGTCTACGTGATGAATATGGTTAGTTGCATCAACTCTATCTTCTAGGGAAAGCATTTCATAGTAAGAAGAGTGACTGGCTGATCAGTTAGAATTCTGGGATCCTTCTCATTTGGGAGACGGGTTCAAATTGTCTAATTTTTGTATAGACTAGCTGTGCCCTGCCACGCGTTGCTGTGGCCCCTAATGGTGAAATGGAAAAGAAAGAAAGTAGCTCTCAACTAACAGTGTCTGTCATAATCCCCCCCCCCCTCCCCTAATAATATCTTCCTCTCCGAAGGAATAAAAAATCATCACTTGGCGAAATTATTAAAATAGAAATAGTTAAGAAATGATAACTTTAAAATAATGTTTTAAGCTCCCTCAGTTAACAGTGTCTGCCATCAACCCCTCCCCCCCCCCTTCCCACTAATCATATCATCCTCGCCGAAGGATGGGAAAGTCATCATCTGACGAAATATTGTAACTGAACTGAGCTTTGCATTCGTGTCCACCCAGAGACAGATGGATAGCATTAATGTGTAATGAGAAGTAAATGTGGCTAGTGTAACAGCTACCACATCACCCATCCAGTACCAGTACTACTGCTACCACTACCACCACCACCTTCAGAACAAAAACAAAAAAAACAGTCACTACTGTCTGTGCAGGTCGGTGTAGTCAGAGGGGTTAGCGCAGCATGATGTCGCCACGGACTGTTTAGTGTAATTGAGCTCCCAACAAAGAAAAAGAAAAAAAAAACACAGTAATAGTCAGTTCTATACTCACAAATAGCGGAAATAAAAAACCTCACACGTCTCCCCTCTCCGAAGGGATGAATGTTAAATGACATTGGCATCCGTGTCCACCCAAAGTAAACTGGACTGTAAGCAGTCTTAGTTAACAGCTTCTGTCATCTAGGAATAGTTTATTATCGAGTATCGCTGGGAGGATAAATGGAACTTTACTTAAATCTGATGTCTATGGGCGAAAGGTGCAGATATCGCAGCCTAGCTGTAAATCACAACACAACATGTCAACAGCCCTCTTGAGGGAAAAAGAAAAATTGGCACCCAGTGAGTAATTGAACACTGGTCAACCACGTGAAGGGCGGAATACGTACAAATATACTACCTAAGACTGAAGAGATTAGGTCCGATACCGCAGCCTAGCTGTAAACCACAACACAACATTCCAACCGCCCTCTAAAAGGCGAATGAAGATTACCCGGGACATGACCAACATCTCGTCACCGCTATCGCAGGCAAGCTGTAAACCTCCAAATTGAGCGAAGAGAAGACGTAGATCACAGCCTAGCTGTAAACCACAACAAAACTTGCCAGGTGCTTAGTTAAAGCCCCCCCCCCCCCCCCCCCCCCCCCCCCCCCCCCCCCCCCCCCCCCCCCCCCCCCCCCCCCCCCCCAAATTTTTTATTACCTAGCGGGGCAATGATCGCCCGTCACCCACGTAACACGCAAAATAGACAACTACGCTACCAAGAACTCAAGCATCTGCCCAATTGTATCTCCCTCTCTGAATAATTGAAACATTATTATGTGGCGACATTGTTAAAATAGAACCTGTGAACCTGGATCCTCAAACTTAACTCTTTCAATACCAGGAAACTGATAGTGCATTTATTGGTTTGTGTTTTATATGGTCTTGATGTCCCATTCATCTGTTATCTTCACCCATTCTAACTTGCTATAGTAACTTCTGTTCTCTTTATGTCCCATTCATCTGTTATCTTCACCCATTCTAACTTGCTATAGTAACTTCTGTTCTCTTTATGTCCCATTCATCTGTTATCTTCACCCATTCTAACTTGCTATAGTAACTTCTGTTCTCTTTATGTCCCATTCATCTGTTATCTTCACCCATTCTAACTTGCTAAAGTATTTCTGTTCTCTTTATGTCCCATTCATCTGTTATCTTCACCCATTCTAACTTGCTATAGTAACTTCTGTTCTCTTTATGTCCCATTCATCTGTTATCTTCACCCATTCTAACTTGCTATAGTAACTTCTTTTCCAGAACTGTATTCTTTAAGTTTAAAAAAAATGAAAGAAAGGAGTTCAGAGCACCTTACATAAAATGTTTAAGAGGCTTTCAGACTTATTGGGCATATAGGGCTACACCTTTTTTTAACAGACCAATTGGCACTCTGTGGGCAATGTGGTCAGCATTATGTTGGCTGCCTTTACTTCCTAGGATTTTACCTGGTACCCATTTTAAGGCTGGATTGACCTGGGAGCTTAGGTCATTAAAAAAAAAAATATTTTAAAAAAGTCCCACTCCACTTGGAATCAAACCTGCAATATTCAGATCCACAGGCAAGCATTTAGTTGCTACACCACGGTGTTAACACTTTTGTGTTACATTTTGTCCCGGTTGTATCAAAGGAAAATACAAGGAGAGAACATTCTAACAGTAAACATCCACAAGACCCCATCAGCAGACTCAACAGAAAGCAACAAACAACAATTTTCTGTCTACGAACAGGACACTGCAGGCTCAACCACCACATGCATAAAATAAAGACTGCACAGTCCCCACAGTGTGCCTGTCAAATAGGACCACAAACACCTGAGTACATTCTGCAGACCTGCCCCCTCTACCTACAACTTTGAAAAGACACCTGGCCTCAAGATCAAAATGTGCTGAGCAAGCTATGGGGAACTATGAAGGACCTGCTACTGACATGCGAGTGCATAGAGGCAACCCACCTGATGGTCTGATATGAGCATACGAAACCGAATGCAAAGAAGAACAAGAAGAAGTCCCAGTTTTTACTGGACCTCCTTCTGTCCTAAAGCAGTATTTTTCAGTGACCTTTAAACTTCACTATTTTTTTAAACTCCTGAATAAACACAGCAACCAACGATTAGAAAGTGTTGTAGTAAAAACATCATGAAAGGATCCAAGGTTAATTGTGAACAAATTCTGTCTGGTGGATTCAAACCCATGACCTCAAGGCTGGTAGGTTAGTATCTAGCCCCAGCAGCTGTTAACCTTGGTACAGTAAATGCTCATCTGTGACTTGTGTTGTGCAGGTGATCAGTTCCTTTGACGAAGTTGGAGAGCCCGGCATGATGGAGTTCAAGAGGCTGGCCTACATCAACAAGATCTGTATCACGAAGCAGTTCACGGTCGGGGAAAATGGCAGTGTGGCAGCGGACGCACCAGCTGTGATCCCCTTAGTTCAACAGAATCTTCAAGCGGCAGTAAGTGGTTTGTTAGTTCACTGTCATTCACCTCTTCCTTTATCTTCTTCTTCTTCACTTTCACCAGCTGTAAACTCTGGCAGAAAGTTCTGGTTGTTCAGCCACTTCTGAACTTGCATTGGTTTGGACAGTGGTATTGATATTTGACTGTTCAGACAGCAATGGCAAACTACTGAACCTAAATTTACCTAGAAAAGTTGCAACAGCTAAACAGTTCTGGGGTTGATTCTGCAGGTTTTTTTTTTTTTTTAACCAGAAGCACTTGAGCATAGCTCATCTGGCTCAGTATTGTGAGAATCACAGTCCTCATATAAAGGACATGCAACTAATTTAACTGTATTGATATACTTCTTTTTTAAACTATATATTTCTTTATATATACATATATTTATGGAAGCCGAAGTTGTAAAGCAGCTTGACGCTTGCCTGCGGATCAGAAGGTCGTGGGTTTGGTTCCTGATGGGTGCCTGATTTTTTTTTTTTTTTTTTTTAGTGATCTTGGCTCCCAGGTCAACCCCAACCCAGCCTTGAGTGTGTACCAGGTACAGACCTGGGGAGTAAAGGTGGCCAGCATGATGCTGAACACATTACCCACCGAATTCCGTTGGTCTATAAAATATAGGTCTAGCCCTATATACCCAATACGCTTAAAAGGTGTGGAAATGGGGCCTCCTTTACTTTTTTACTTTTTTACATATATTTATATAAATCTTTTCTATTTCTTTGTATTTATATCTTTCTTATCCCTGTGTGGGTTCCAGGGCCCCATTATAGGGAAAACAAGAATAGACCCACTGACTACCCAAAAGCACGTCGTTAAGAGTCGAATAATTGGGAGCTTCCTTCAAAGTCGGAATGCATCTGCCTGAGAGGCAAGGAACCAGCAGTCTGCTTACAAATTTCAGATCTGTAAAATGGATGCACACACAACACTCAGGTTCTGGAACAGGACTGCAGTCCAGAAGTGGACGAACAATCAGAACTTTCCACCAGAGTTTTCAGCTGGTGTACACGAAGAAGAATATCTTTCTTAATTATTATTTTTTTATATTTACATTTTATCTGTATGACTTTTGGGGTTTGCTGGCATCACATATGTTGGGCCAGATGGTGCAGATATCCACAACACAACAAGCCAACCACCTTTTTAGCGGCAAACACAGAAAAAGAAATTATTGTTGTATGGAGTATGAAATATCGTAAACAGCTAAAACATTTACTGATAAACTTCAAACATTTGTGAACAGATGCCAGCACAGAATAAAGGGAATTGAACGAAATGATAAAATCACAGATGTTGAACTTTGGCAGAGAACCAAACAAGTTCCAGTGGACCAAGAGTTTAGGACAGCATTTCCCAACCTTTGTTTTTTAATTCTGCCCACCTAAGCCTTTCTAAAATTGAGACAGATCAAAACTGCAAAGTCAAAAGAGGGTGACTTCAAATGAGAACTTCAGAAGTATGATAGAAATTGCAGTAAACTTGCCATTATCTTATAACCTGTCAGTATTGTTGTTAAGGATGTCAAGAGTGTCAGGATGTGGGTGAAAATAGTGACATCATAATGACAGTCTAAAGATGGCCACCTCACTTTTGACCTGCACCAAAGAGGAACAGTGTTCATTTATTTGTTGTCTAATCAGTTCTCATTCTTCTTATTCTTCTTTTTCTTTTTCTTCTTCTTCTTCTTCTTCTTCTTCTTCTTCTTCTTCTTCTTCTTCTTCTTCTTCTTCTTCTTCTTCTTCTTCTTCTTCTTCTTCTTCTTCTTCTCTTCCACCTTGTACCTCATCGAAGTGTTTTCTGATCAGTGAAGGGGTTAAACATTCAGAGCAGGATTTCAATTGAAGCCCTCTTGTATTTCACTAAACTGTCATAAGTTCTTGTCTTGCCGCAGGTTGTTGTCCTCTGGCTGAAAGATCCGCTGCCAATCCTAGAGGTTGTTGACAAGAACATTGTTGTCAGGACAAATATGCTGTTTATTGCCACCGATGCCTGGGGAGCAGATCCCGTCTATTTGACTCTGCCCAGCATCAGAAACTTGCTGAGCCAGAAACGTCTGGTTATACTTGATGTGGAGACTGCTGATGTTCCAGGGTACAGCTTTGAATTTCTAAGATAAATTTTGGTAGCAGATACTTGGAATAATAATAATAAGCAGTATCATTTTGAATGTCTAAGATCTCCCTGTGTGCTCTGAAACTTGGAGCACAACTAAAAGAGATGAAGCCTTATTACAGGTTTTCAAAAACAGTCTTGCAACGAATCTTTGGACCCATCAAAGGTGCAAACAGCGGGGAATGGAGAGTGAGAAGCAATAACGAAATTCATAATCTGTGTAAATCACCACTGATCACTGGCATCATGAGAGCTAATACACTAGAATTGTTGGGGCATATTGAAAGAATGTCAGATGACATAGAAGTAAAAACTGTATACAACCAGAACTTTCTGTTTGGAGTCTAGTCTGCTAACATGAAATAGAAGAAGAAGAAATTCTAAGATAAGTCTCCACATACTTGCAATGATAATAATTGCAATGGTATCTGCTGTAGGGTTGGTCAGACTTTTTGTTACCAGCAGTTTTTTTTTCATCAAGTATCATTCTTTTATTTGCTGGTAGTCATGCTGTTATTATATGTGTCTGCATGTGCGCGCGCATGTGTATGCATGTGCACAAGTGTGGGTGGGTTTGAGTGCATGTGTGTGTCAGTCAGAGAGAGAGGGGGGGAGAGAGTGTGTGTGTGTGTGTGGGTGGGCTTGTGTGTGTGTGTGAAAGAGAGAGGAGAGGTGGGGGGAGAGAGAAAGAGAACACTGTTATCCAAGGGCACTTTCCTGTTATGCAAAAAAGATTAACTGTGACGCCTAGCGGCATAAGCAGATATTGACCAAAGAAAGAAGAAGAAAGAAGAAGAAGAACAAAGAAGAAGAATACAGTGTTTTTGCAGTCTTCAGTCATAGTCAGTTTTTATATTAACCCCTGGTATCTGAATTATTACATTAATTCAGCTACTTATGTCCCCTGTCGGGGTCAATGGCTTAGGCGGTGCGAACACGCTTCGTAATGCCGGGGTACTGAGTTCAATCCCAGCTGCGGGCCATGTGCCTTGTATTGATTTCTACAGTGATATCAAGAATCCGACCATCCAAAGCAATGGCAAACTATTGGACGTAAACTTGCCTAAAAAAACCACAATGGCCTCAAAATGCTGGGGTTGGTTCTACAACGCACTGTAATGAATACTCAACTAACTTTTTTTTAATGTCCCCTAGTGTCTATGTTGGACTCTTTAAGATCTTACCATCTGCTGCTTATAGGTTCACCTCCTTAGGATAGAAGGGGTCTGAGAAATAATTTCTTAGGACTAATAGAGTTAACTTTCTATTGAATGTGTAATACTTTAACTCCCTTTGCTTTGCAGTTTTGATGAATATTTGGAAAACAAGACCCCAGATAACTACAAAACCAACCCTTGGTTTAAGGAATACTTTGAAACTTTCCTCAACTGCTACACGGACACAGCAACTGGCTCAGTCTCGCAGAAGTGTGACCCTAGCGCGACCATTCCCCGAGCTGACAACTACAAGCAGGATTACTATGTTCTCTATGTAATGAATGCAGTTTTCTCCATAGCTTTTGGGATAAATGATGCCATCAGAACCCTGTGTACTAACGTGCCAGGACAGACAGTTTATGGGGCTTGTAACTTGTATGTCACAAGTGGAGAGAAGAGACAAAAGATTATGCAAGGTCTCTTGAAGGTAACTAGTTTTTATCAGTCATTTTATAGTCAGTATCTTCTTCTTTTTCTTCTTCGGCATTCTGAGCCCTTGAGGTTCATTGCTGCAGATATCACCTTCCTCTATTTATCTCTGTGATTAGTCTTCTCTTTCCAGCTAGTGACCTCAAGTGTTTGTAGGTCTTTCTGTACATTATCTCTTTACTGCCTTCTTGGTCTGCCTCGTGGTCTACTCTCATTCAGCTCCCTTGTGTACACAGTTTTAACCTCTCTGTCATCTGACATTCTCTTAACTCTTTGAGTCCTAGTGGGTTTAGCATCACGGGTTCAAGAGGTAGTAAAAAGAGACATAAAATTGGCGTATCATGTGTAAATTGGGCTTCTAGGTATGGTGCGTTCCTTGGGACTCAAAGAGGTAATGTGCTCCAGCCATTTCAGTCTGCTAGCCCTCATGATGCCAGAGATATTCCATGTTCTTAATCCAAAAAGTTCTTTAACACTCCAGAGTCATGGTCAGTTTAAATCCATCCAAACTCAAAGCTTAAGATATCTATTTGGTCATGAATGAAGTTTTATGAATGTGTTTGTGGTGGTGGTGAAGAGGGGGGGGGTTGTTTATAATCCAAAACTTCAGCCCCCTAGATAATAGTATATGTTAGATATATTCACCTCTTGAAAGTGAAGTCATTGCACAGTCATTATATAATAGCAGCACTAGCTGAGGTTTCAGCTTCACAGCGTATAGGACTCTCAGTAACTGCCATATTTCTGTGCCATTCACTGTCCTATATAAAAACCACACATGTGTCAGAACTTCAGCTAGCCAGACGGACATGTGGATTTCTCTCGGAGATACCTCAGTTAAGTGATTTTTGTGTATTATTTTTTGCAATTGTAGCATTCTCTATTCCTATGCTATGCTGATGAGGGCTTTCTGACCACAACATTCACTCATTGTTTGTGATTGTTCATTTGGCTGGATATGTTTTCCTGACATTTTAAAACATTAGTGAATGCACAGCTGGTCCTGGTAAAATTTAGAAACCTGCAGTGAGTGCACAAGGCAGTAGCTAGAGTTGCCAGGACTCGCAGCGTCCGCTAGTCACAGCCTGGCAACTAAAGTCAATTATACTAAATCAACTCATAGCAGATTTTAACCCAAGACTTTCAGGCCGGCAGATACATTTTTAGCCGCTTTGCTTCTGTGACTCCTCCATAGATTTTTAACTTTCTATTAGTCCATATTATGTGTATGTGATTCTTCATTTTCCTTCTCCCCATCCCCTACTCTTCTTCTTCTTCTTCTTCTTCTTCTTCTTCTTCTTCTTCTTCTTCTTCTTCTTCTTCTTCTTCTTCTTCTTCTTCTTCTTCTTCTTCTTCTTCTTCTTCTTCTTCTTCTTCTTCTTCTTCCTCCTCCTCTTCCTCTTCTTGTTTTTCTTCTTTTTTCCTCTTCCTCTTCTTTTTCTTTATTTTTTTTTATTTTTCTTCTTCCTCTTCCTCTTCTTCTTCATTTTTTTCTTCTCTTCCTCTTTTTCTTCATCTTCTTTTTCTCCTTCTTCTGCCTCATCCTCCTTTTGTCTCCCCTGTCCATATTTACACCCCAGTGAAGATGAATTCTCTAGAAATCACCATCATCAGTCAACAGGTCCTTTACAGAACATCGCTTTTGTCACGGCACACCTGAAAGTCTCTCTCTCTCTCTCTCTCTCTCTCTCTCTCTCTCTCTCTCTCTCTCTCTCTCTCTCTCTCTCTCTCTCTCTCTCTCTCTCTCTCTCTCTCTCTCTCTCTCTCTCTCTCTCTCTCTCTGGCCAATTCTCCAGCCCTATGTGCTTTCATAGCCAATGCATCTTCAATGTCTTGTATCAGCATTTGCGGAAGTTTGCCTCTGCCTAATTTTCTAGAAAGCTGTAGCCTCCATCATCACTGTCTCCAGACCACCATGATGTCTAACCTGGTTAAAATGTGTCAGCTTTTAGGACAGAATGTGGTTCATGAGCTAATTCCTCTGGATGCCTAGGTCATGCAGTATACTTGTGTTTTTCTTCTTCTCAGCCCATGGCATACTGTGAATTTTAAAGAAATCTCAAGACACTTGCATCAGATCTTCCTGTCATTTTCAATCTGTGTTTACATCCTCCATCCATACACCTGATGAAATGGATAATTTTGATTCCACAGGTCAACTTCACGGAAAACACCTACCAGCTATTCTCTTTGTTCTGCTATCACAGGTCACCTTCGCTAATAACACCCATCAGTGATTCTGGTTTTTTGTTGGTGCTTTTACATGTCAACTTCACTGATAACATCTACCAGCCATTCTATTTGTTTTGCTTTCACAGGTCAACTTCACTGACAACACCTACCAGGCATTCAATTTGTTTTGCTTTCACAGGTCAACTTCACTGACAACACCTACCAGGCATTCTGTTTGTTTTGCTTTCACAGGTCAACTTCACTGACAACACCTACCAGCCATTCTGTTTGTTTTGCTTTCACACGTCAACATCACTGACAACACCTACCAGGCATTCTATTTGTTTTGCTTTCACAGGTCAACTGCACTGACAACACCTACCAGCCATTCTGTTTGTTTTGCTTTCACAGGTCAACTTCACTGACAACACCTACCAGCTATTCCATTTGTTTTGCTTTCACAGGTCAACTTCACTGACAACACCTACCAGCCATTCTATTTCACCGAAGATGGCCAGAGTTCCCGAGGGTTCCATGTCTACAACGTCACAGAGCCAAAGCCTTCAACCTTTGAGTACCAAAATGTAAATACCATTATCTCTTTTATAAATACAGTTTGTCTCATTAATTATCTTATGACGATACTTCCTGAATGTAAGAAAAACATACTATAGATACAGACTTTGCTAAACATAAAATGTGATACTATCATTTGTTATCGTGTCTGTTTAGGTTGGATCTTACAATGATACTAATTTCCTGAAGCTAAACATCACATAGGATACAAAGTTATCAATTGTTATCTTGTCTATTTAGGTTGGATCTTACAATGATACTCATTTCCTGAAGCTAGACATCACATAGGATACAAAGTTATCTTTTGTTATCTTGTCCATTTAAGTTGGATCTGACAATGATACTCATTTCCTGAAGCTAAACATCACATAGGATACAAAGTTATCATTTGTTATCTTGTCTATTTAGGTTGGATCTTACAATGATACTCATTTCCTGAAGCTAGACATCACATAGGATACAAAGTTATCATTTGTTATCTTGTCTATTTAGGTTGGATCTTACAATGATACTCATTTCCTGAAGCTAGACATCACATAGGATACAAAGTTATCATTTGTTATCTTGTCTATTTAGGTTGGATCTTAAAATGATACTCAGTTCCTGAAACTAGACATCATGTAGGATACAAAGTTATCAATTGTTATCTTGTATTTTTACGCTGGATTTTACAATGATACTTTTTTTCTGAAGTTAGACATCATGTATGACACAAACGTATCACTTCTATCTTGTATGTTTATGTTGGATCTTACAATGATACTTATTTTCTGAAACTAGACATCATATAAGACACAAACGTATCACTTCTATCTTGTATGTTTATGTTGGATCTTACAATGATACTTATTTTCTGAAGCTAGACATCATATATGACACAAACTTATCACTTTTATCTTGTCTATTTAGTTCGGATCTTACAGTGATACTCATTTCCTGAAGCTTGAATTCATGTCAGATACAAACTTATAATTTGTTATCTTTTTAATTTAGGTTGGATCTTACAATGATACTCATTTCCTGAAGCTAGACATCACGTATGATACAAGCGTCACAGCTCACTGCGATGTGAAACCAGGGGGCTGTGTCTGTGAGTTCAAAGATGATTTACCGTCACGTTACATGAAGAAACCTGATGGGGACAAGGGTCTCAGTGTGGTCTACATTGGAGATATTCATCAGGCCAGTCCAACCAACCCACTCGGCTGTGGACCCATTAACACAGGTTTGTATCTTGAATATGCCCGGCTCTCTAGCGTAGTTGGCTAAACCGGATTGCGCGGTGACCGGGTGACGAACTCCTTGTGGTCCGGGTTCACTCCCGGGGGTAGGCAGAAAAGCCACATTTTCTCCCAGATTTATGGTATTTACAATGGAATCAAGGCCGAAAGGTTGCGATATCCATAATACCGAGCCTAAGGGTTAACAACTCATGGCTTCTGGATGCTAAAGCAAGTATCTTGAATATAGAATCCTTAGAGTTTCTTTGGAAGTTGAAACAAGCAAGCCAGATGTTTTGAAAGATGTGAGGGCTCAGAGACAGCTTACCTAAAATATCAGAGACTGTCATCATTGCTTTTTGGTTATGCTGTGAGAAGAAAGCTGGACCACTGAAAACAACTAGGGAAAAAGAAACAGAAGAAGAAGAGACAAAACGAGTGGAACGTAAACTCTATGGACCACTGAATGAATTAACAACAACAGTGAAATTTATACAAGAGACAAAATTGCTGATATAGACAACTTATTTCAGGCGAACGAAAGAAGAAGAAGAAGACAAAAAGATTTTTGACAGCCTTTTATCGTGGCATGGAGGGGTGTCAGTACATGAACGGATAAATGCTGTTGAAGATTACAGATTGTGAAGAGGCATGATCACCCTCTCAAGTCGGCAAAGCACTTGATGATGATGGTGATGATGATGATGATTTTGTGGATGTTTGACTATGATTTAAAGGCAAGGGTTGTACGCAGAGATGAACAACTGCTGGGGAGCATAATTCAAGAAGATCATTGTTTATTTCATCTTCATTGCACATCAGGTACACCCGTAAGTGCTCTATCTTCTTTCTCCTTAACATCATATTTCTACTGAGTATCTTAAATTGAAGTGCTCTGAACTTCTTTCTCCTAAATATCATATATAACTTCTTTCTCCTAAAAAAAATATATAACAGTGCTTTTAACTTATTTCTTCTATGCATCATATATAACAGTGCTCTGAACATCTTTCTCCTAAACATCAAATAAAACAGTGCTCTGAACTTCTTTCTCCTAAACATAAAATATAACAGTGCTCTGAACTTCTTTCTGCTAAATATTATACAAAACAGTGCTCTGAACTTCTTTCTCCTAAACATAATATATAACAGTGCTCTGAACTTCTTTCTCCTAAGCATTGTATATAACAGTGCTCTGTACCTCTTTCTCCTAAGCATCTTTATAACTGTGCTTTGAGCTTCTTTCTCCTAAGCATTGTTTATAACTGCTCCAAACTTCTTTGTCCTAAGCATTGTATATAACAGTGCTCTGAACTTCTTTCTTCTAAGCATCTTGTATAACAGTGCTCTGAACTTCTTTCTCCTAAGCATCTTGTATAACAGTGCTCTGAACTTCTTTCTCCTTAACATCATATGTAACAGTTGTCTGAACTTCCTTCTCCTAAGCATCTTATCGAACAGTGCTCTGAACTTCTTTCTTCTCATCATTTTATGTAACAGTGCTCTGAACTTCTTTCTCCTAAGCATTTTGTATAACAGTGCTCTGAACTTCTTTCTACTAAACATCATATGTAACAGTGCTCTGAACTTCTTTCTCCGAAGCATCTTATCTAACAGTGCTCTGAACTTCTTTATTCTCATCATTTTATGTAACAGTGCTCTGAACCTCTTTCTCCTAAGCATCTTGTATAACAGTGCTCTGAACTTCTTTTTTCTAAGCATCTTGAATAACAGTCCTCTGAACTTCTTTCTCATAAACATCATATGTAACAGTGCTCTGAACTTCTTTCTCTAAGCATCTTATCTAACTGCTCTGAACTTCTTTCTTCTCAGCATTTTATGTAACAGTGCTCTGAACTTCTTTCTCCTAAGCATTTTGTATAACAGTGCTCTGAACTTCTTTCTCCTAAGCATCTTGTATAACAGTGCTCTGAACTTCTTTCAACTATACATTTTATATAACATCAAGCATTGTAAATAACAGTGCAATGAACTTCTTTCTCCTAAGCATCTTGTATAACAGTGCTCTGAACTTCTTTCAACTAAACATTTTATATAGCATTAAGCATTGTATATAACAGAGCAATGAACTTTTTTCTCCTAAGCATTTTATATAACAGTTCTCTTAATTTCTTTCTCCTTAATATCATATATAACAGTGCTCTGGACTACAAAACAACTGCAGGTGTTATGCTTGTTAAAGTAAATTACCTTTCTCTATAAAACAGGGACAGTTGTATTTTTATTAAAGGGAATGGCATTTCTCTATAAAACAGGGACAGTTGTTAGATGTTTGTTAAAGTTAATTACCTTTCTCTACAAAACAGAGACACTTGTTGTCTGTTTGTTAAAGTAGATTAGCTTTCTCTATAAAACAAGGACAGTTGTTATTTTGTTAAAGGGAATTATCTTTCTCCATAAACAGGGACAGCTATCTTTTAGTTCAAGAGAATTATCTTTCGCTATCAAGAGCCTGTTGTGTTCTTTTTGTTAAAGTGAATATTTTGTCTCTATAAAGCAAGAACAGTTGATGTTTTCTTTGTGATTTAAAATGTCTATCAGGCGTATTTGATGTTCACTGTAAAATAGAGACAGTTTATGTTCTCATTGTTGAAGTGAATTATCACTCTCTGTAAAATAGAGACAGTTTATGTTCTCTTTGTTGAGGTGAATTATCTCTCTCTGTAAAATAGAGACAGTTTATGTTCTCTTTGTTGAAGAGAATTATCTCCCTCCGTAAAATAGAGACAGTTTATGTTCTCTTTGTTGAAAAGAATTATCTCTGTCTCTAAAATAGAGACAGTTTATGTTCTCTTTGTTGAAGAGAATGATCTCTCTCTGTAAAATAAAGACAGTTTATGTTCTCTTTGTTGAAGAGAACTATCTCCCTCCGTAAAATAGAGACAGTTTATGTTCTCTTTGTTGAAAAGAATTATCTCTGTCTCTAAAATAGAGACAGTTTATGTTCTCTTTGTTGAAGAGAATGATCTCTCTCTGTAAAATAAAGACAGTTTATGTTCTCATTGTTGAAGAGAATTATCTCTGTCTCTAAAATAGAGACAGTTTATGTTCTCTTTGTTGAAGAGAATGATCTCTCTCTGTAAAATAAAGACAGTTTATGTTCTCTTTGTTGAAGAGAACTATCTCCCTCCGTAAAATAGAGACAGTTTATGTTCTCTTTGTTGAAAAGAATTATCTCTGTCTCTAAAATAGAGACAGTTTATGTTCTCTTTGTTGAAGAGAATGATCTCTCTCTGTAAAATAAAGACAGTTTATGTTCTCATTGTTGAAGAGAATTATCTCTTGTCTCTAAAATAAAGACAGTTTATGTTCTCTTTGTTGAAAAGAATTATCTCTGTCTCTAAAATAGAGACAGTTTATGTTCTCATTGTTGAAGAGAATTATCTCTGTCTCTAAAATAGAGACAGTTTATGTTCTCTTTGTTGAAGAGAATGATCTCTCTCTGTAAAATAAAGACAGTTTATGTTCTAATTGTTAAAGAGAATTATCTCCCTCTCTATGAAACAGGAGCAGATCTGCATAAGCTGCTGGCTTTCTTCTACGCCATCGAGCAGGTCAACAACAACAGGATCTTCCCAAGCTCTCTCAAGCTGGATGGCTTAGCTCTGGACAGCTGTACAAACGTGAGTGTCGCCTCAGCTGCCTTGATCATTGGAGTGTAAATTGTTCAGTAAAAGTGCAGAGCCACTGGTTGAACCCCCAGAATACTTTGCTGTTGTTGTTGTTCTTCTTCTTGGCAGTCACTGTGAATTCTGGTAGAAAGTTCTGGCTGTTCATCCACCTCCGGACTTCAGTCTTGGTCCAGAACCTGAGTGTTGCATGCACATCCATTTTACAAATCTGACCTATTTGTTTGCAGACTGTTTGTTCCTTCAGGCAGATGCACTCTGACTCTGAAGGCCCCCCCCCCCACCCCATCCCATCCCCAACCCCCATCCCCCAGTTAGTCGACTCCTATGACATGCTTGTTTAGGAAATCAGTGGGTCTGTTCTTGTTTTCCCACACAATGGAGCCCTGGAGCCCACACAATGGGCCCCTGGAACCCACAAATAGGCCCCTGGAACCCACACAATGGGGTTCTGGAACCCACAAATAGGCCCTCGGGACCCACACAATGAGGCCCTGGAACCCACACAATGGAAGCTCTCATTGTGATGACCCAGGCTGTAACCTTACTAAATTGATAAGACATTTTTCTGTTCCTTGTGGAGGTCATAAATAGACAATCCTAACCTTCACAGTTCATGGTGACTGCATCAACCATGAATCTCTAAATCCTCGGGCTCGAGACCCCAACCCCTCCTTCCTACCTACAAGGTCTTTCACAAACCCTCCTGTATCATCTCTTAGGACATGCATGTTAGGTTGTAGTGTAAGTATTCTTTACTTTTTGCGAGCCTAGGTAACACAGGAATGGGTACATTTTTACCATGGCATAAGTTTCATTCAAAGCCCGCCCCACCTCTTTACTGCCCTAAAAGCAGTAAAATAAAGGCAGTAAAGACAAATTTAATATGAAGGTTTTTGGTTTTGTTTATATATAAATTAACAATTTAAAAAATAAAATGTTTACATTTGGTTTATATTTACTACCAGAACAAGAGACAGAAAGTGTTGGAGATCCATTTCTCCCCATGTAGGTTCCAAGGCTCCATTTTGGTGGGAGAGGGGGCTAGAAAGATCAGACCCAGTCTCCCCCCCCCCCAATAAGCATGTCATAAAAATCGACTAACTGGAAAAGGGGGATGGGATGGGGGTCCTCCAATGTCAGAGTGCATCTGCTTGAAAGACGAGGAACCAACAGTCTGATTACAAATAAACCAGCTCTGTACAGAGGATGCTCACACAAAAGTTGAGTTGAGTCAAGAATTGACATCACAGCACTCGGGGCATTCCCGTGTGTGCTCCATCCTCATCCTCAGCAGCCAGTGCAGAGTTCCAGTACTGTTGGTACCGGTCACAATCTGGTTTTATGTCCGACTTGCTTTTCCTCTGAGTGTAGTGAGCTGGGCAGATCCTCTGGTTACACCCAGGTGCCTCATTCTCTCCAGTTTCTCTACTGATTCCGTTGCTTGTTCCTAAAGGGCACTCTATTTCTGGAACAGTACTGAAGTCAAGAAATGAACAAACTACCAGAACATTCCCCCAGAGTTCACAGCCAGTGAATTTGAAGAAAAAGAAAACATACTTGATTGTAGAGACAGCACCTGATTCATAGATTGACTGTTTTGATTGATTGACTGATTTACATTTAGTTTATTATAAATTTGACATTTATTTCTAAATATAAACCAGTCAAAAGGAAAGAACCCATTTCTTTCTTAGGACATCATTCCAGGCATGTCATTGACACAGACAGTGCTTTCCATGTGGTTTATCACACTCCGAACAGGGGACTGTTGAGAATGGCCAAAGCTTTAACAATTAAAATCAACAACCCCCTCCTTAGTAAGCAGACAGAATTTATAGTAAATCTGAAGCTACCTTGGTAAGTCATGTGACTACGGTGAGCTTCTGGCGGCCAAAACACACCACGATGTGTCGAAAGAAACTATTCGCATTTCAGTTGGATTTATTCAGTTTTGTGTTTCATTTTATGTTGATGTAACTCTGTAGTAATGCACCTGATGAGAAACAGTGAAATATGCCTGGCAATAAATTGTGCAATGTATTGTTTGTGTCCGCAGTATTTAAATATAAATGTAACTTTTTCTTCTTCTGGAAACAGGGCCTTCGCTTGGGTCAGGATATGTACAATGTGCTCAGTGGGAACGTCCTGTGTAACTCAAATAACGATGGACTGTTGGTATCCCCATCAACCATCACAGCCGTTGTTGTCGACAAAGATGAGAATGCTCAGCCAGTTGTCAGTATGCTGTCTCGGCAGAGTAAGGACTCATTATTTGTTGTTCTTTGCATGTTGTGTCTTATGTGTTTCTTGTGAGCTGCCGTAGTGTGGCGGCTAGACACTTGCCTGCAGATCCAAAGGTCATGGGTTCAAAAATGAAACGAGCCAGATTTTTTTAATGATCTTAGCTTCCAGGTCAACCCAGCCTTAAATGGGTACCAGGTAGAGTCCTAAGAGATAAAGGCGACCAGCGTGATTTTGACCATATCACCCACCAAATGCTGACTGGTCTATAAAATATAGGTCTAGCCCTATATGCCCTATGTGCCTATATGCAAATTTTAGTTGCTAGACGCACTAAAGCCATCAGTCACAGTCAGAAATGCAGTTTGTTGTTGATGGAAGCAGTCGGGCATGATAAGTTGGCTACTATACACACGTAAAATTATTACATAAGGTATTTCACCAGCTCGTACATAAACCGGCTACCAGCCATATTCACTACCACGACACAATCGCTGCACAAATGAAATGCATTCCACCGGAGAAAACACAGCTCACAGGTTTGCACCAGTAACTCAGGCAGGGAAACCAAAGACTACCATCCAAATGTGGAAACTGCATTAGCAAAGTGCTGTCGGAAGTACACACAAAAACTTTGAAGCTTAACATTCTACACTGCCTTATCCTCCATTTTAGTCGGAAATTGGCCTTATTAGTTGTTAATCATCTTAGGTTTTTTATCTTTTGTTTCTTACCTTTTATTACTTAAATGTTGTTTCATATAAGGTGTTTCCGATCTCTAGTTCCTTATCTGTTGTTTCTTTATATACTGTTTGATTTATGTTGTTCCTTATTTATTGTTCATTATGTGTAGTTCCCTTTCTGCTGTCTTTTTTTAAATGAGCTTCCTGTCAAAATAGAGCATAAAGTTTATTGTTTTTATTTGCGGCAAGTTTTTGCTTTTGACAGTAGTTGGCTGTAGCATTTTCCTCCATATGTAGACTGATAGGATATAGTTTCATCACCCAGCTACTGAGTTGAGTGTATGGTGCAACACTGTGAGCTGTAGATTCCATGCTAGGTACCATGTCCTTTTCTTCTTCTTTTTCTTTTCTTCTTCTTCCTCCTCTTCTTCTTCTTCTTCTTCTTCTTCTTCTTCTTCTTCTTCTTCTTCTTCTTCTTCTTCTTCTTCTTCTTCTTCTTCTTCTTCTTCTTCTTCTTCTTCTTCTTCTTCTTCTTCTTCTTTTTCTGTCTTCACCCTTAAAATGGCAGCCGACATTTTGTGTTGTGGTTTACACACATAATTCAGTATCTTTAACTTTTGGACCCTCATATGTGATTTCAGCAAATCCTTTAATCGTATGAGATATATGGAGTTTCTGAAAGTAACAGATGTAGTAGCTAGTAAATGTTCATTTTTCATGTCAGGATCATCTGGTTTGTTTGTCAGATATTTTCTCCAGGTCATTTCGGCCTGTTTGGAAACAAGCAGTCAGAAAGACTGGCTAGTTCTGCACCACTTGATTGTTTTCTGATTTACTGATTTAAGAATCCACATTATAGCACACCAGGCACACCCATAGATGGTCTTTCTCCTGCAGCAAATGTCTTAAGGTGTAAATGCTAACTGTTCCGTTAGCACACTGATTATACACACATTGTTCTCTTCCTCTCATCCATCCCTCCTTGCCAAATCCACACTTAATTCCACTTTCACACATTCTTGCACATATTATTTCATCTAATCTCGTGTCTTCTGTCAACAGTCTTTCATATATTGTCTTTAGAATATCTCCCTTGTCTGGTACGAGTGCGAGTATCAACCTGGTGGTGAACTGATGTATAACAATCTAGATGTTGTAGGGGTCCTGTGGGAGAGAGCCAACTGAGTGAGGGCACAAATAGATTAATACAATCTCAGGAGAATGACGACGTGAGAAATGACCAAGGGATCTGGCTGATGCTGAACACTCAAAGGAGAGGCGATACGGATATACAATCAGACAGATATTGGTGCATTGAAATTGGAACTCTTCGCTTACTGCTGAAGATTTGGATGAAACATTTATGGAAATTTTCTGAGTGCTGTGATTCAGTTCTTTATTCAGCATTCAACATTTCTTTTTTACCTGGTACCTATTTAAAGTTGGGTTGACCTGGAAGCCAAGGTAATTTTTTTTTAAAATCTGACTTGATGGGGATTTAATCTGTTACCTTCAGCCTGGAGTTGAGCATCTAACCGCTAACACCACTGCGAGGCTAGTTCAACGTTAGTCCCCCCAGAGCCCACCCATATACGCACTAGCTCACTTCTGATTGGTAGTTCCTGAGCCGCTCGGCCTTCGCAGACTGTTACGGGGGTGTTCCGCAATGCTGTTGATATCACGTGTTGTATATTTCAGCACGCCACATCTAACACAACCCCCTAGAGAGTGCTGCAACCTATGTCACAGGCATTCTCTTTCTCAGAAAAAAAACATAAATGCAAGCCAAGCCAGAAAGCAAACTACAGAGCGGCACACCCATAACCCCCAGGAAATCAGACCAGTCCAACAAAGTTATTAATGGAACGTGACCTACTTTATTTGGGGAGACTAAAGTCGAACTAAATCCACTGTGGCTCCTGCTTTTTGAAAAGATTGATCGTATTTACTTTGCCTATATCCATCTTTGATCTTCTCTAACAAATTCACTAATAAAACTATGCTTGGTAACATTTAAGTTGATAACTTACGCACAATGACCAATTAACCTTCTCCAGAGATTACAAGCATCTCTCCGACGGCTGGCAGTTCTATGCTCAATGACCGCTTTGTCTACCCTTACTTTCTGCGTGTCCGTGGGGATAATATCCAGACTGCCAAGATCATCCTTGACATTGCACATGCAGCCTCATGGGATTACCTCAGTGTTGTGTACACAGACACGCTTGGATACAGCAGTATGTCCGACTCCCTACTTGACAGGTTAGTCATTTATCCGGGTTTTTTTTTTTTTCTTAAGTATTTAACGGGCTGTTCTCCACTTACGACTGAGTTTTGTTTCGACTAAGAGGTCATTTGTTGACTGACTGACTTACTTACCAACTTAGTTGCTCCTCTTCTACCTTGGGGTGTAGAGGTTTGCCAGAAAGATCACCAGACATCTCTATCAGCATGTTTCTTTCTGGCTTTGTTCTGTTCCAGTCCTCTGTCAGTTAGGGACTGTTGGATGTTATCTTCCCAGTGCACCCTGGGTCGCCCTGGAGGTCTGGGTCCCTGGTTCTTAGCCTCCCATGTCTGCCATGGTGGCTGATTTTCTCCATTCTGCATACATGTCCAAACCATTGTAACTATGACTGATCTACTAGAGTTTGTAAGGTCTGGTTTTCAAGATCTTGACTTAATGTCTGACTGTGAACTCTGTCCATTTTTGTCACTTAGACCACCTTTCTCTGACGCCTCATTTCTGACATTTGTTGAATTATAGAAAGTAAATCTTTAACACTTTTCGTTCAGACAGGTTGTAAAAATTGTACTTAAAACAAAAAAATTCAATCTGTATGCATTTATTTATTTGGTTATAGTAGCGTTTTCCGGCCCAGAAAAAAATAACTTCCCTTGCCATTCTTGGCTCTTAGCATCACAGGGCCTGTCCTATGTTGCAGGGGTGTCACGCTTAGTGACCGGCCAGTAACACATCGTTTTTCTCATTGTTGTCAACTGCTGGCAATATTACGTGTTCTATATTCCATGATGTTTGCCATTTTAATTATCCTAAAACATCTAGGGCTGGCCCTAACCCCCTCCCCTACAGCCTTAGCCTATATACCACGACTGCACACAGCCAAGGTCGCATGACTGTATTCAGCATATATTATAGGCTGCATGCAGTCGTGGGACGTAGGCTGCACTTTCTCATGGGACATTTGCTGCACTCTCTTATGGGACATAGGCTGAGGCTGTTGGGTTAAGAGTGTTGGGGTTAGGGCCAGGTCTAAATATTTTTTGGACCGTTAAAAACGCTCACATCGGGGAAAATACAACACATGATATCGCTGGCCACTGACAACAACTGTTTTCTCCTTCTTCTTCTCCTCCTCCTCCTCCTGACTTTTAATCTTGTTCCAGAAACTGAGTATTGCACATCCATTTCACAGATCGGGCTTATTTTTGTGCAGTGTCTTGTTACCTTGCCTCCCAGGCAGATGTACTCCGACTTTGAGTAATGCCCCTAATTAGTCAACTCCTACAACAAGCTTTTGGTGGGGGTGGGGGGGGGGGGAACAGTGGGTCTGTTCGTGTTTTCCCCACAGTGGGGCCCTAGAACTGACACAGGAACTGCTGTCTTCATTACCTCAGTGTTCGTATTCTTGTTTTACCAGTCAATGCCAAGTGTAAGTCAGGTTCCACCTATTTTATCAAGTCACTTGATAATGTGGATGATAATTAGGGAACATCTCACTGATGCTAGTATTTTAACATTAGGAACATTGTTCTGTATTTTAGCTGCATTTTTATCAACATTATTTTTCAGTTCGAGACAGTCGCAAGCTTGTGTAGGAGTGTCCGTCCCTTTGTCCACTAATGCTACACTAGAAGATGCTCAGAATGTTTTGCAGAGGTTGAGTCAAGAGGTTTGTTAATGTTTGTGTTGATTGGATCCGAAGCAGACAGTCAGAAGCAGGAGACAAGTCTTCTTCATTGATAGTGTGTGGGTGTGCAAATGTGTTTGTGTGAATTAGTGAATGTGTGAGTGAGTGAGTGAGTGAGTGAGTGAATGAGTGAGTGAGTGAGTGAGTGAGTGAGTGAGTGAGTGATGAGTGAGTTAAGAGTGAGTGAGTGATGAGTGTGTGAGTAAGTGAGTGAGTGAGTGAGTGAGTGATGAGTGAGTGAGTTATTAGTGAGTGAGTGAGTGTGTGAGTGGTGAGTGAGTGGTGAGTGAGTGAGTGAGTGAGTGAGTGAGTGAGTGTGTGAGTGAGTGTGTGAGTGAGTGAGTGGTGAGTGAGTGAGTGTGTGAGTGAGTGATAAGTGAGTGAGTGATAAGTGAGTGAGTGATGAGGGAGTGAGTTATGAGTGAGTGAGTGAGTGAGAAACAAAAGAGAGTGAGGGAGTCTTCTTTAGCTTTTTCTTCTGTTCCTCTTTTATCTCTTCTGGTGTCAAGGGAGATACAAGGTTTTGCTTCTTGCTCTTCTGACCGCCTCGACTATCCACATATTGTGCTGTTGTAAAATTTCAGAGAGGTTATCTTTCCATCTTGTTCTTTGTCTACCTTGTGCTGTACATCCTTCTGCTCTTTTGGGGTTTGCCTTGTGAAGTGTTGAGTTGAGTCAAGAATTTACATCACAGCACTTGGAGCCTTCCCATGCATGCTCTGTCCTCATCTTCAGCAGCAAGCGCAGAGTTCCAATACTGATGGTACCGGTCACAATCTGGTTATATGTCCGTTTTGCCTTTCCTCTGAGTGTAGTGAACCGGCCAGACCCTTTGGTTACACCCAGGTGTCTCACTTTCTCCAGGCCATAATAATCTTGTTTCTCTACTGATTCCTTTGTTCCCAAAGGGCTTTGACCACATCTGCCTTGTTATGTATCAATTCATCATCCAGTGGTTCAGATCCAGCCTATCTGTGCCGGCATTGCCCGGAGAAAAGATCCAAAGTATGCTCACTACCCAGTGAACTTGCCACTCTCCTCGAAGCATCACTGTCTTCACCTTTCTCAGCATGCCTTCAGAGTCTGTTACAAATATGACACGTGTATGCATCTTGTTCTTTAGCCACCGGAGAGCTGCAGTTACCGCCTCTACCTCCATTCTCGTGCTAGATGTTGTGATGTTATATGCTAGGCTGTCTTGCACTAAAGATTTTCCATTGGCTTTCGCTTGGGTGTGATTTATTTTTATCCTCCTGTCAGTTCCGGGGCTTGATTGCAGGGAAAAAAAGAATAGATTCACTGCCCCCCAACTAGCTAACAAGCATGTCCTTAAAAAGTAGACTAATTAGGGGTGATTCTTTCAAAGTCAGAGAATATCTCCTGAGAGGTGAGGAACCTATAGTCGTCATACACATAAGCCAGATCTGTCAAACAGATGCGCACACAAAACTCAAGTTCTGGAAAAAGAGAGAATATTAAGCTTCTAGCTTATTTTTACTTCTGACAGCGCTTTGCTAATTCAGTTTCCACATAAGGACGGCAGTCTAGGGTTTCGCTGCCTCAGCAGTCCAGAAGTAGACGAATAAGCAGAACTTTCTGCCTGAGTTCACAGCCAGTCAACATGAAGAGGAAGAAGACTGTATAATTTCAACGGCTAAATCTATCGTCCTCTGTTGCCTGAAACTTGCTGAATTAGTGCTGAGTCAGAATGACTTAATGAATTGAATTGAGTAATAAGTTAGATTATCATCACAGCACTTCGGACATTTCCATGGGTGCTCCGATTCCCCCTTCAACATGTACATCAGCATCCCGAGGTTAAATGTAGCAGGTCCTCTGCAGAACGTCGCTCTCATCACAGTCTGCCTGAAAGAAACTCTGTCTCTCGCCAGTTCTCCCGCCTTATGAACTTTCACACTCAAGGCGTCATTTATATCCTGTGCCCATCTCCGTGTCGGTCGGCCCCTGCCCCTCCTTCCTGGTACCATGCCGTATACTAGAATTTTTTTCCAATCTGTCGTGGCAATTGATATGACCAAAATATTTCAGCTTTCGAGAAAGGATGCTGTTTATTAGCCAATCTTCCTTGGTGTTCAGATCTTTTAAGATGTCAATATTTCTCCTCTTCTTGATGTTAAAATAGGCCAAGTAAATATATGACTTTGAATCCTGGGCAATAAAAAAATAAGCCAAACAATTTCTTTCTATCCTTCGCCATTACACGAAGCTCTCCCCATGTCCTCCCTATCTGTCTAACTTCATTCTCCAGCTCTCTTCTCCATGTGTTTTTTGGCCTTCCTTTGTGCCTATGCCCTTGTGGTTCCAATGCAAAGACATTCTAGTTATGCTGTTCTCCTGTTTTCTCAGTGTGTGTCCTATCCAACGCCAGCATCTTTTCCTCACCTCTTGGTTCATTGGATCCTGTTTAGTTCTCTCCCAAAGTTCTACATTAGTTATTCTACCATACCATTTAATTCCCTCTATTCTGCGCAGGCACCAGTTAAGAATGTCTGTAATTAATTAGTAATTGTCTTAGTTGTTCTCCATGTTTCCGCCCCATACAAAAGTACTGATTTGACATTAGAATTAAACTTTGTTAATTGTTTGCCCACAGGTCGGTGCCAGGGCTGTGGTCTTGTTTGTCAACCCCGATCAAATCAAACTGCTGCTGCAGGCCAGCCAGTCCCTGGGCCTGACTGGTCGCTTTGTGTGGCTGATGGCCTCAGATTGGGACCCAGATACCAACAAATTTGTAGGGCTTGAGCAAGAGGTGAGAACATCTCCATCTTGTTCTAGAGCTGATCTCTGAGCGTCCTTGAGTTTTATTGGGTCTAAAATTAGTTAAAGTAAATGCTTTATCAAATCTCTTTTCTATGCATTCAGGCGTATTGGGCATATAGGGCTAGAAATATATTTAATAGACCAATCAGCACTCACTGTGTGATACAGTCAACATAAATTCATAGGCAGAAGCATTGTCTGTTGCAGTGCATGTTTTCTGTTACGGTGTGTGTTTTTTATTACAGTGCACATTTTCTATCACTATAAGCATTTTTTAATACAATCCGCAGTTTCTAGTACAGTGCAGATTTTCTACTGCAGTTAGCGGTTTCTGTTAATGGGAGTGTTTTATATTATAATGAGTAGTTTTTTGTTACAGGGGGTTTCTATTATAGTGAGTTTCTGTTACATTTAGTTTCTGTTTTAGTGAGAGTTTTCTATTACAGTGGGTGTTTTCTAGTATAGGGAGTGTTTTCTATCACAGTGGATGATTTCTGTTGTAGTGAATGTTTTCTATTACTGATCTCATTCAAAACGTCAGCATTAGAGACAAAGTTGGAACAAGAGCATGCATGGAACATATTGAAAGACAGAGAATAAAGTGGTTTGGCCATTTAGTAAGAATGCAACCGGATCAATTTGCCTATAAGGCCTTTTACAGTAGAACATCAAGAAGAAAGAGGAAGACCCAGGAAAAAATGGATAGATGGAGTAGCTGAATACGGCCAGAAGATCCAGAAAACTGTCACTCAAATCACGCGAGAGGCACAAAACAAATATTTTAAACCACGACACTGGGCTGCAACCCGGTAAAAGTGAAGAAGACAATAGATAGATAGATAGATCTCATTCGAGGCTGGGTCGACCTGGAAGCCAGGTTCATATTTTTTTAAAAAGTCTAACTCTGTCATGACCTGAACTCATGACCTTCAGATCCACAGGTGAGTGTCTAGCTGCTACACCATGGCAGCTCCCATGTGCTGCATAAAAGTACAATAATTTAAAATACCCGTTTCCATGCTTTCAATGTTTATGGAGCAAATTGGGCTAGACCTACATTCTGTATACCAGTCGGCACTTGGTGGGTGGTGTGGCCAACATCATGCAAGCCGCCTTTACTTCCCTGGACTTTATCTGTACCCACTCAAGGCTGGGTCAAAAAGGGAACCAAGATCATTTTTTTCTTTTAAAAGTCAGGTCCCGTCAGGACTCGAAGCCATGACCTTCTGATCCACAGGCGAGCCTCTGAATGCTCCACCACGGAAGCTTTCCTTGTGCTGTATAGTATTATATCAAACACTTATACTTTGGCATTATTTCTTAGGATATTTCATGCCCCTTATTTATTTAAGGTTTGATTCTCCGGAATGTATTTCATTGGTTCTGTTTAATCCATACAGCTGGCAGGAGCAATAATAGTGAATGTCCGATCGGCAGTTTTGGCCAACTTCAGGGAATACGTTAGAAGGTTGACCTATAGAAACAGGGGAGGAATTCCCGATGACTGGTTTGATGACATTTTTGAAACACTTCACCAGTGCAACATCCTGAATCTAGAGGTAAATATGTGGTACTTTATTTATATTCTACCCCTGATGACATCACAGGATAGTCCAAAATTTTAGAGGGCGGTAAGACTGCGTTTCCCGGGTTTCTGATGTTTTTAACGACCCCACAACATCTAGAACTGGCCCTAACCACAACCCACCTACGTTCCACGAGAGAGTGTAGCCTAGGTCCCACGACTGCATGCAGCCTAGATCCCAGAACTGCATTCAGCCTATCTACCACCCCCTGAAATATTAGACTGCTCCCTAACCTGTGGATTTCCCCTTTTTGGGGTAGAATATTAATTAAGCAAGAAATATTTATATGTGATACTGGGATATTGTTTTTAACCCTTTGCTGACCAACTGTCCGATGCATTACTTTCTCCCATTATCAAGGGTATTAGGAGATTTCTTTTAAAAGGATTGGTTTTCTAATAAAATTCATTAAAAATTAAAAACGAGTGTAGGGTTTTGAAGCCTTTTAGAGACACTTTCTGAGTGGTTGCTGCACATGAAAAAAGATATGTTATGCAAATATGTCACATGATCATGGTGGCCATGTTGAATTTCTTTGGCTATTTATAGAAATTTCATGAGGGGTTTTAAAACCACATCTTTTGCCAGTTTTAGTGAATTTTTTCAATGTCAGTGCAATAAAATGAATAAAATGTTGGGGACATGGTTGCAATGAATACAATAAGCTCAGTAGCAGCACTCATTTGACGACTGCCCTGCCAACTGGCGTAGGCGCTCATGCGTCTCCACAAATCAGGATCCCTGGTTGCCTGGGACAGCTTTCTTGATGATATCCCTCCATGCCATTGTTTCAGGACATCCAGCATCATCTCTCTTGGTCTGCCTCTACCTCTTGTGTCTTTTTTCCATCGATCTTTCCAGTTTTCAGGATGTTCTCCAATGTATCTCTTCTCATTATGTGGCCAAGTGTTTGTCTCTTTCCTATTGTTGTATATAGAGATCTACTTTCATAAGCTTCTTTCAAGAAATTGTTGTTAGTTACTCAAGGTTGCATTTGTGAATGCTTGATTATAAAAGCACCTCTAGTAGAAGTCTGAGCTACTTCTTTCATTAACTGAAGCTGTAGCTGTAGACCTCTCTGCAAGTGTCTGTCTGGAACATTGATAACCCTCAATTGTGTGGTATAACTTGAAACAGAGTGTCAAGCATAGAGGTGTATTGGAACTCTAGTCTTCTTTTGCTTGCAGCCTTACACACGATTTATTCTGGTTTGTACCTTGGCTTTTCATATTTTTCAGTAAAATGACGCTCAGTAAGTCGTGATGTAGTGACTTGTGGTCTTAAAGGTGTTACGTTGTGCCGAAGAACAGCAGTTCCAATAAGAGCAAGACTGACATCCTACCTGAACCTTGTTGCTGTGATCTTATTTGTAGAGTTGACAGTGTTGTAGCTTATATGCCCATTGACCAGAGCAGTTTCAACTAGCTAAAGTGATCGACAACCCCATACTTTTGTTGTATTTTCCTGTAATAACCGGCTTGTTCATTATTCTGCACTCAGAAATTCAACTGTTCTGTCTTGTTTATAACATCATTGGAGTGAACAGCAGATATCAGATTAACTCTTTTAGTGTCATGCCAGGTAACGACCAACATGCTTTTTCTTTTCTGTCATACAAAACAGGATGATCTGCCTGTTTTTTTTATTTTTTTTTTTATTTAGCTGCTTTTTCTCTAATAAATCAATCGGCACTCACCCAGTTAAACTCTGATATGGCGCTTTGTTGTTCTTTGTATGGAGGAAGATTGTCAGGCTTAACAAGTTCATTTTAAGCAGCCTTTCTCCATTTCCAGACAGCATTTTCAGCTGTAGAAATGTTCTCATTTACGTTAATTTAAGGATTCTCTTTTGGGCATCCTCGCCTCCTTAGTTCCTTTCTTTCCCATCTTAGTGCCTGTTTGGGGATTCTCTACTCGTTTCTTCTCAGGATATGTCCAATATAGCACCATCTTCTGTGTCTTATTATTGTTGAAACTAGTGGTTGCCCATCCCTCTTGAATTCATCCTATTTCATTGTCATCATTTTCGTCAGTCATTTATTTTCAAATGCATTTAACTTTTGTTCCATGTCTTTAATGATTCTCCAATTTTCACTGTCATATGTTGAAACTGAAATAACACTAGAACTGAAAATTTGTAACTTGGTAAGGGCAAATACAGAAGAAGAAGAAGAAGAAATCTTGGAACTGTGCTGGCTGCTGAAGATCATGATGGATTGTTTATGTGAATGTTTCTTGTTGTCGGTTCATAATTCTTGACTTTTTGTTCTTTTTTCCTAGCGGCCATCTTCATACCGATATTCAAGAACCTGCACTCTTGATGAAGTTATCACCGACGACATGATCAGGCAGGACCCTGATGTTTTGTATGTGATTCTCAGTGTCTATTCTATCGCTTTTGGGCTGAACAATATCCCGGAATGTATGGGCGCCAGCTTGGACTTGTCGGCCTGCCTGCAGCTGCAGCCACAGAGATATGACAAGATTTACAAGGGGATCGCCACTGCTAATGTCCAGGTACAGCTGATGTCAAGCTGACCAGTCTCCTGCCCTTTTTGTAACTTCTTTGGAATACAGGCCTTCATCAGCTCACACCTAGCTGTTCTTTCCTTTTGCCATACCTCTCAGTTCTTGCCTGTCATCTATTATTATTGTTGTTATCATCATCATCACGTAGCAGGTCCTTTGCAGAATGTCACTCTTATCACAGTTTGCCTGAAAGAAATTCGGTCTCTTGCCAGTTCTCCCGCCTCATGAACTTTCACACTCAAGGAGTCACTTATATCCTGTGCTCATCTTCGTGTCAGTCGGCCCCTGCCCCTCCTTCCTGGTACCATGCCTTCTGCTATAAATTTTTCCAATCTGTCGTGGCGCTTGATATGACCAAAATATTTCAGCTTTCGAGAAAGGATGCTGTTTAATAGCCAATCTTCCTTGATGTTAAGATCTTTTAAGATGTCAATATTTCTCATCTTCTTTGTCCAAGATATTCTGGGAATCCTTCTATAGCATTATTATTGTTGTTATTATTATTAATATCCTCTATCTTTGTCTTTTTCTTCTTCTTTTTCTTCTTCTTCTTCTTCTTCTTATTATTATTATTCCTCTTCTTTTTATTCCTCTTCTTCTTCTGCCCCTCCTCTTCCTCCTTCTCCTCCTCCTCTGCCTTCTCCTCTTCATCTTTTTCCTCCAAGCCTGCTTCCTCCTTAACCTCTTCTTCCTCTTCCACTTCTTTTTTCTTTCTCTTCTTCTTCTCTTTCTTCTCCTCCATGTCACCCTCTTTTTCTCTATCCAATTATCCCAAAAAGATTATTGGAGGAGATATAAGGATTGTCTGTGTAAATTGATCTTCATTTCTCTAACATGCCATGTGTCCATCTTTTGAGGGGTATTTTGTTTACTTTGTACTCATTATACAGGATCTCCCATCAATTGCTTTGCAAAGGAAAAATAAAAACTTTTTTAAAAACACATCTCATTGTGTCTTCTGGTGTTGAAGAATATGGATAACCAAAGCTGGAGTTATGCTTGTAATGGCATTGGTGATATGTTTTTTTGTGTGTGTGTGTATGGAAACTTATGGGACACCCTGTACAATCTTATGTGGCTCTCTGTGGTATTCGGTACTGATTATTCATCTGCATCTTATACTTTCTTCTATGTGTTTTAGGTCTCTAGGCATTAACAAGTAGAACTGGTGTCATAAGCCATTACAGGCTGAGGGAGATACTGAGGGGGAGATCTGAGCAGTTATGGACTAAGTGGTTCAATGTGCGATAATGATAATCTGTCAGTGCAGACTTTCATGAAGATGGAAACAAAACATTGAAGATGCGTTGGCTGTGAAAGCACATAGGGTTGGATAATTGGCTAGAGAAAGAGAGACTTTCAAGCGTGCCAGAATGAGAGCGATGTTCTGTAAAGAACCTGTTGATTAATGACTGAAAATGATTTTCACTTTGACAATTTTTTTTTTCCATTATATTATTTTTACTGTTACAGCTATAACTGTAATTTTGTTACATTGTGGTTTCCACACAGGATCCTGAACTTCTGGGCAATGCTACATTCACATTTGATGACAGTGGCAATGGCATTGTTGATTACAACATTTGGAACTACCATATCAGCACTGAAGCTCCCTACTCACTGTTCAAGGTAGACATTCTTTTACTGAAAATGTGGTTGGCTGTCATTGAGCTGATATCCAGAAGTAAATTAACACAACACAAATTATAATTGTATTCATGTTTTTTTTTTTTCGCAATAGCTCTTCCTGTCCCTTTTTTTAATATTCTGTGTGGTCTTCCTTGTCATTTGTTTGTTGTTGTATGATTCCTGTTGTCTTATTTGTTGATGAAGATTCTAATTGATCCTGACGATCAACAAACTAGCCACATGTACAACACTGAATGTCCTGTCAATCAACAAACTAGCCACATGTACAACATTGAATGTCCTGGCAATCAACAAACTAGCCACATGTACAACATTGAATGTCCTGTCAATCAACAAACTAGCCACATGTACAACATTGAATGTCCTGTCAATCAACAAACTAGCCACATGTACAACATTGAATGTCTTGACAATCAACAAACTAACCACATGGACAACATTGAAGGTCCTGTCAATCAACAAACTAGCCACATGTACAACATTGAATGTCCTGTCGATCAACAAACTAGCCACATGTACAACATTGTTTGCTAATTTTCTTGCATGAATGCATGCCTTGCCACAAAAATGAAAACTCATCTTTGTCTGCCACGACCACCTCAAAGGCTCGACCCACTGTCTTCGGACATAGCCCATTTCTATGTTCCTGAGCATACTCATTGAGCAATAAACTTGTGAAGACCTTATGTCTCAGCAGTGACTTGAAGAGGGTATAGAAAGACTAGCTGTCTGTAGATTTTGAGAAAACATCATAGTCTGCTAGCTTGTTCAGTGCAAGGTTTTGAAGCAGGTACTAAAGGGGCTAAATAAAAACTCTTTACGATTTCATTACTTTGAAAAAGACTGAAAATAATCAAGTGGAATTGGTCACATGGCAAGTGAAATTTTTCAAGTCGGCTCAGACAGAATATATAAAGTACACAAACACGCCATACGTTGTTTGCGACTAAAAGAATTCATAAAAAGGAAAATATTCATATGCTTCACGTTCTGTAATTTAGATTGGCGATTACAGTAATGGGATGCTGAACTTCAAGAATGAGCTGTACGCAGGAAGTAACCTCTACGACAGAAAGATTCCATCGTCCGGTTGTGCTGTTGGATCCACCTGCAAGTGTCAGTTGTCTGGGGGCAGGACCTGGGCGTACTCTGTCGCCCAGATGCTAGACCCAGCAAATGTTAAGGTAAGCGTTATTTTCACTTGACTTCATCTTCACAAAATGAATATCTTTATCAATATGAATATCTTTATAAGTATCAGTATTTTCATTGAAATTTTCTTGGTGGTGAACTGATGCGTGACAAGCAAGAGAACAATGCTTAGGTACAAATAGATAATTACGGTCTGAGGAGAATGGTGATGAGGGAAGTTACCAGGGGATCTGGCCAACACTCAATGCAAGACAGATGTACAAGCAGACAGTTACTGGTGCCATTGGAACTGGGAGGGGGGGGGGGGGGGGGGCTAAGCAGGCCCAAGCCTTGTGATTATAATAATAATAAGAATGTCCTGAATGGCAAATAAGTAAAAGAATATATTTGAAATAGTATGATGTGTATATAAACAAAAACTCAGAGAGAGAACTTCTATGCCTGGTTACAGCGGTGACATCTCAGCCCCCTTAATAAGTTCAGTATGAGGTGAAGGTAGGGGTTTCTATTTTTACATATGATATATTATCCTTTTTGATATGCTTAAATTGTCTCAATATGAAAACGCTTCAAAAAAAACCTTCAAAGTGTGATAGAAATCACAGTAACAATGCCATTATGTTGTAACCTCTCAGTATTATTGTTAAGGATGTCAGGAGTGTTAAGAATGTAACATCACAGTGCAGACAAACACAGTAATATGACAATAATAGTTTAAATATGGCCACCTCCTTTTTGACATGCACCAAAGAGGAGCATCGTTCTGTGTTCAGATTTTTTTCTTGTCTTCATATCTTGAAATACAGTGAATGGTAAAATATCTCTGCATTCTACACAGGTTGGAGGTATCTACAAGGACCCAGTCACCGGGGAGGTGGTCAGAGTGGAAGCAATCCCCAGTGCTGGAGACCGCTTCGATGAAGGATGGGCAATTGTTCTCTCCGTCTTGGCATGCCTTGGTGGGGTCATCTCCCTTGGCATCTTTGTCTACCTCCTGATCATGTACCCAGTCCGTGGTGGAACCACCATTTTGGGCTTCATCCTTTCGTTTGGCATCATCCTCTTGTACTTGATGGCATTCCCGTTCATAGCTCATGCAGATGTGCGCATGTGCGGGCTTCGCCGGTTTGGTCTGGGATTCGTGTACTCCATTGTGTACTCGGCTCTAATGGTCAAGCTGATAGATTGCTGGAGAGTCCGAGCCAAGAATGACCCCTACAACATCAAGTATAGCAAACTGGGCACTCCTGTTGGCTTCTTCCTTGTCACAGTCTTCTTTGTTCTTGTTCAGGTAAGTTCTGTAATACAGATAATTACATCTCTTGGTTTCTTGTATTTGTTCTTGTGAGTTATTTAGTTTTTTTTTTTTTTTTTTTTTTTAAATATTTATTGGTTTTGGATCAACATCATGGCACACGTGTGTAACTCAGAAGTGCTCTATTCTACTTCTAACTCAAGCCTGAGTCTGAAGAATCTCAGCGTGGTGCACGAACTCTGTTGCATCCTGAAATACTTTGAGTAGATTTTTAACTCAAAATTTTGCGCAGATTTTTAACTCAAAATTTTCCCTGGGCAGCGCCATTAGGCTACTTTTTATCGATTTCCAACTGACAGGGATTTTTTTTGCGCGCGCAACAATACACATGGGCATTCGGTCTGACTACCCAGAGACCAGGGGCAATTACTAGAATTACACGTGAAAAAAATCCTAGCCTTCACCGGGGTTTGAACTCAGGACCTCGAGCACTCTAGGCGGATGTCATGACTCGAGACCACATTTACATCTGTTGGTGCTTATCACAGTTTTCTTTGTTCTTGTCCAGTTAGTGGGGTAATGCAGATATTTAATATGTTGGTTTCTTCCTTGTCATGGTTTTCTTTGTTCTTGCTCAGGTAAGTTATGTAATACAGATATTTAATCTGTTGGTTTCTTCCTTATCACAGTTTTCTTTGTTCTTGTTCTGGTAAATGAGATGATACATATATTTACATCTGTTGGTATCTTCTTCATACCTGTTTTGGTAAGTTATGCATCTGTCTGATGTGGTGAGTTATTGTAGATAGCCTGTTTTTTTTATTTGTGTGTCAACGCCACCTACTCACCCACTTTGCACTACAAGTTAAATTGTAACCATTTGGTGCAGCAATATGTGTCTTATATGGTTGAATAGAGCCAATTTCAACATGTGGCTGTGAGTCATGGACAATTAATTTTAAAAACCACCAATTTCTAGAAGAATCCTTAGAATTACTTGGACAACCCACAAAAATAGAGCAACCCATGTGCTGTGAAAGAGGTAAGGACTCAATTAAAACTTATGGCAAACATCAGAAGGAGTCATAATTGTTTCGTCATGCTATAAGAAGAGGAAACCTGCAGCATGCTGTGACCACTGGAAAGATCTGTGAAGAGGCAGAGGAAGACTGTGCCAGGAGATTCTTGACAGCCTTTGGTCAAGGTCTGTGTTTTGACAACACATAAACTGATACACGCAGTTGAAAACTGCAAATTGTGGAGATGCATAATCACCAACGCCAGTCGCCAAGGCACTTGATGGTGGTGATGATGATATGGTTGAATGGGGTTTCTGGGATTTACTTCTGTTTGATTCTCATCCATGAGGTGTTAATGCTATCAGTTCCAAGCCTGGAGGAGGAAACTTAGAGAAATATTATTTTTTCTATCTTCTTCTTATTTATTTTAAACTGTTTACCCTTAACAGGTTAGCTGGGGTGTTGTAGCTGGGATGTTGTAGCTCGGGTGTTGTAGCTGGGGTGTTGTAGCTGGGATGTTGTAGCTGGGATTTACAGCTAGGTTGTGATATATGTGCCTTTTAACGGAGCACGTATGGGAGTGTCCCAGGTGTTGTGATGTGGATTCTTCATTCAGCATTCAATATATGTGCCTTTTAGCCCAACACATCTTCTTCTTTTCTCTACTCCTGGAATGCCTCGTGGCGTCAGAGCAAGAACAAATCTCTGGAACGGGCCCTTCTGTTTGCTTTGTATAAAGTATTTTTTCAGTGTCTCTGATAATTCTGTTTTCTGACCTCTGGTTTCTGGTTGACCTCTGGCTCTGTTACCATTGTATCTGTATAACATTGTTGTTTGTGGTGCCCTGTCTTTTGCCAATCTTGTTACGTGGCCAAACCATTTAATTTGTCTACCTAAAAAGTTCAGTATTGGTTCTAAGCTGACTCTTCTCCTGATATCATCGTTCCTAAGTCAATCTTTACGCATAGTGTGTAAACATTTCATTTCTGTTGTGACTATTTTCCTTCTGCCTGCAGATCCTTAATTAGTTGCTTTTTATGACATGCTTAGTAAGAAGAAGTGGACCTCCCCACCCACAGTAGTGCCCAAGAACCCACACACTTGACTGTCCTGACTTGAAGAAACAATAGTCAGTCCTCTCCTGAAAGACCGGTAACCACTGGAGAGCAGTGCTATTTCCAGTTTAACCCTACCAGACCTGAGGCCCTGAACCTAACTGTCCCTATAACCTGAGCTCCTGGGCATTAACACGAAAAAAAACCAACATGGTGTACAAAAATATTAGTTACATGCAAACAAGTGGTTAGAATAAGATGAAACTTTGAGACATTGTAGAAAATAGGTTAACCTTTCATCTAACGCCAATCTTCCACCTTTGTGTGCCAATCCACCTAGTAGGATCAGTCTTGTTTCACAAAGTAAGCACCAGATGTTGCTGTTTGAGGACACGCCTCCTTCTCTTACTATCGATCTAGTTTGAAATCCATAATTTTCATAATTCTCCTCCTCTCTAGTTCTCACTGACTGTGTCACTTCAGATGGGAACGCATACTTCATAAATATATTCACAGCGTGAATTAACCAAAGTAATGATCACCTGTTGGACTGTGAAAAGCCTAGACCTACGTCACTTTCTTGTCAAAGCCGCTCGTTTCATTGAGAATGTTCCAAATTTTGTTCACATCAAACCACACAAAGAAATCTCAACACACGTGGGAAGTCATTCGCGATGACTAACAACGAAGTCTGATGGCGATTGGCTGGTTATTTCTAGTCTGTGAAGCATATTTTTCACGTACTATGCAAATTCCCGCAAAATGGAGCCAGCGGTATAGCGTCAGGTTAGAAAATTCCCGGAAAATTGGGCCAGTGGTCTGGTAGGGTTAATCAGTTGATAAAATAACAACTTGTTGGTCTCTGTACCAGGTGATGATCAACGCTGAGTGGTTGATTCTGAGAGAGCCTGGTATTACCCGCATCTTCTACAAGAATCAGTTCTGGCCTCGGTGCACACCTGATGATTTCTACGACGAAAGTCTGGTGCTGTCTCTTGTGTATATTATGGTGATTATCTTGGTTTCACTGCTGCTCGGACTGGCGACCTACAGAACGTACGTATGGTTAAAGCCTGTAATGTTATTTTAAAGTAAATGTTTTCTGTTTTGTTTTTCTGGAATACTTGTTATTAGCATAACTGGATGGTCCTTTCATTTAACAAATATGTGTTATTCCAGTGTTATTTCAGTTTTAACATATGAAAGTAAAAGTTGGAAAACCACCAAAGACATAATTTAATTAAAGTTCAATGTATTTGAAAACAGATGCCTAAGTAAATTAATGAATATTAAATGAGATATTCAAGAAAGGTGATTTAATAAGAAAAATGTCTGGAAAATCGCTGGTATCAAGAGTTGTTTGAAAAAAAATGAAGAAGAAGAAGATGGTGATATATTGGGTACATTCTGAGAAGAACTCAAAGAACCAGCAAATGGGGAGTTAAACTGGAAACAGTGGACTGAGCAAATGAGGACATCCTACAGAAAACTCAGATGAATGTTGATGAGAGAGAGACCAAAGATGCTGGACCACATTCATCTATGATATTAGAATAACTGCACAGGCTAGAAGGAGGGTGAAGGAGCAAACAGCGAGCGCTATGTGATGTATGGCACAACAGGATGATAATGTTGATGAGATGGGTGGAAAGTGATAGCAGGAGACCTAAACACAGTGGAGAAAAGAATTAAAGGCAAAGATGAATCATAAAGGAAAAATATGGAGGAAGGTAAAGATGATGGTTAAAGTTAAGAGTTTGGCGTGAGTTGGTTGCTTCAGTTGGCATGAGGGAGGTGAAGATGATGGTTAAAGTTAGGAGTTGTTTGACATGAGCTGGTTGCTTCAGTTGGCATGAGGGAGGTGAAGATGATGGTAAAGTTAGGAGTTGTTTGACATGAGCTGGCTGCTTCAGTTGGCATGAGGGAGGTGAAGATGATGGTAAAGTTAGGAGTTGTTTGACGTGAGATGGTTGCTTCAGTTGGCATGAGGGAGGTGAAGATGATGGTTAAAGTTAAGAGTTGTTTGACGTGAGATGGTTGCTTCAGTTGGCATGAGGGAGGTGAAGATGATGTTTAAAGTTAGGAGTTGTTTGACATGAGCTGGCTGCTTCAGTTGGCATGAGGGAGGTGAAGATGATGGTAAAGTTAGGAGTTGTTTGACGTGAGATGGTTGCTTCAGTTGGAATGAGGGAGGTGAAGATGATGGCTAAAGTTAAGAGTTGTTTGACGTGAGTTGGTTGCTTCAGTTGGCATGACGGAGGTGAAGATGATGGTTAAAGTTAAGAGCCATTCAGCGTGAGTTGGTTGCTTCAGTTGGCAGGTGCGTTGTTTGATGTAATTAGGTTCAACTTTAAATGAAACAAAAGAATATGAGGATATAGTGCCAGTAGACTGTAATGGATGGAAATAATAGAGAGAATAGCAGATAACAGAGAGACAAAAACTGTGTGTAGATTGAGGTGAATGACCATAGAGTAATTGGCAGACCAAGAAGACAGTGCAGAGATCATGTACTGGTAGACTTGCAAACACTTGAAGTCACCAACAGGAACAAAAGAAGCCCAGTCACCGAAGCAGGTGATGTCAGCTGCCCTGAAACTCAAGGACTCAGAATGATGAAGAAGAAGAAGATATGGGACTAGATCCGTATTGTTCGAGACAGCAGGTACTTGATTTGATGGATTTGATTTGATTCAAGAACCGACATCACAGCACTCAGGGCATTCCTATAAGCGAAGCGCTCCATCCCCATCTTCAGCAGCCAGCAAAGAGTTCCGATACTAATGGTGCCAGTAGCATTCTGATTAAATGTCCGTCTTGCCTTTCCTCTGAGCCTCGAGCATCTGCCAGAACCTCTCGTCACCCCCAACTGCATCAATCTCACCAGACTGGTGATCCATCTGCTCCTCCGAATTGTACACGCTCTCCCACAAGGCACTAACCACGTCTACCCTATCATGTATTCCACCAAGTTGTGCAGAGCCAGTCAGTCTGTCCGTCTGTTCATTTCCCAACACACCGGCGTAACCCGGGGAAAAAATCCAGACAATACTCCTCACTTGTGTCCTCCGCAGCGAAGCATGCCACTCTGCACGACAGTGCAGAGTGCCATGCAGGTACTTGATAGGTGATGTAGTCAACATCAAACTGGCTTTCTTTACTTCCCATTTCATTTCCTTGTACCCATTTTGGGCTGGGGTGGCTGGGATGTCCCAGCGAAAAATAATTCAAGTTTAAGCTACTTCAACAGAATAAATGATATTCCTGTTTAAAAAAAATATTCTTTATTCATCTTCTTTTTTTTTTTTTTGTTCGCTTGTAATAGATTATCTCTATCTGCAATGTTGTCTCTAGTATGAACTTCACTGCCTTTTGTTCGCTTGTAATAGATTATCTCTATCTGCAATGTTGTCTCTAGTATGAACTTCACTGCCTTTTGTTCGCTTGTAATAGATTATCTCTATCTGCAATGTTGTCTCTAGTATGAACTTCACTGTCTTTTGTTCGCTTGTAATAGATTATCTCTATCTGCAATGTTGTCTCTAGTATGAACTTCACTGTCTGTTGTAATTCACTCAGTGATCCCTCAAGTTTGGTTTACACCGGTGTTTCTCCTGCCCAAAAGTTTTGTCTGTAAATATTGTAGCTGGGACAGTCTTGGGGGACATGATCTTGTTGTCTCAGGTGCCAATCCTGTAATGTACTTTATGACATCATAAAGTTTGTTTTAAAAATATCCTTGCCAACTGGGGGTTGAAATTAATACATCTCTGAAGAGATCCAAATGTTGTTCATCTTAATTGAGCTCTTTTATCCCAGGTCATAGTGGATGCACCAGTGAGTCAGTTGTGAAATCAACAATAAAAATGGGCATGTTATACCCACAGGACCCAAATACACATCTTCTGTTGGAGACAAATGTATTTTTGAGTGTCTTAGTATACCCCCACTAAATTTTAACCCTTTGGGGACACAGCCTTTTTGGAGTTTCGTGCCAAGAAGACAGAAGAGAATTCTCATAGTACACACACAAAATTATAAAAAATAAAGTGTTTAATTAACATTTACAAAACTGTATATTCATGTATATTGAATGAACTAACAGAGTATTTATGAATCAAACTGAAATCTCAACGTTTATTCAAAATAACTTTTCTGATTTGCATAATTTATGCAAGCAATTTTTTTTACACTTGTTAACAAGCATAACTAACCTGAAAAATGTAGGTGAATTTTTTTAATGGATGTAGCTTGAATAAGTCCTAACAACTGTATTTTGGGAAGTAAGGCCCTTGGAGGCCTTTCAGACACATCTGGCACATGGTTCTACTCATTTTCCTGCCTCCACCCATGTTTCAGTTGCTATTTTCGCCATTTTTGGGCACAGGTAACCCCCGAAAAAAAATCGATGTAAAATTACAGAATACATCAAACTTTCTCGAAAACCGTTAATGTACAGCTCATATGTGCAAGAAATGCGAGAAGCAGTCTGAATGGCTAGTACAAAAACCTGCCAACCAATATTAAGGCTTCTATTATAAAGGACCGACCAATTTGCTCAGTCGTTCTTTTGGCTACTTTGTATTGGTCCAATATTTCCGCCGCGTCATCTCTAAAGGGTTAAATGTACAAGTATAATGATCTGTTAACTGGTGCATGTGAGCAAATGCAGTCACATGTGATGTGTTGGTTGGGAAGTGTGCGAGTTCATGTTAACAAATGTTTTACTGTATTATTTTCACTTTTATCTTGCAGAGTGAAAAACCACCGGGAATCTCGCTGGATCCTCGGGATTCTGATTGTCAGCGTTATCTGCTGGGTGGTCTGGTGCACCGCATCGATTCTTGGTGCCATCAAGATGCGCGACGCTGCTGTAGTGGTGGGCTTGCTGGTGAATGCAACCGTCATGCTTCTGATGATGCCCATCCGCAAACTGTACCTTCTCTACAAGTATAACATCACTGAGGACGATGTCGAGGAGGAAGACAAGCAGAGTACAATAGCTCTGAGCCAGAAAGGTGGGTTTTGTTAACTCTTTGGAATGTGTCAGTGACTTTGTGAATATGCTTATTAGGAAAACGGGGCAGAATTCATCGGACAAGAATTGATTGTAACACTCAGTACTTTGCCAATGTCTGGCGTAAAATCCATCATGGTGCCAGGTCATGCAGATGTTCGAGGCAGTGAGCTTGCAGATTATTTTACAGACACTGCGGTTGATGTGGCTGTCCAGCACAGCACAGGATTGACGTTATCAATACCGTGCGCAGCAAGAATCACGCAGAGGCCTAAGGCAAAACGCATGACTCCATATCCCTCTCTAGACTGATACACATGGAGATTAAACCTGGAGCTGCAAAAAATTCCAATTTTACCAGGGGGACAAGACAGATGATTATTATAATAGAATAGGCATAATCAGTCATTTTATGTTTGTGGAGCTGCTGATGAGTAGGTCGGAGCACCTGTGGATCTGTCCAGGATGCTGTGATGCTAATCCTCACAAATCACTAGTATGTAAAGACACAGAAGGTTCCAGACGTAAATTATTGGCACCAATCAATACAAAGCTACAGGAGAAGATGTAACTCTTTTTGTATTGAGCAAATCACAATACGAATATAATAATAATTAGAAGCTTTAGGCGAGAACTAAAGTTCCACTGAGTCAATAGGTGGAGAAAAGAGGCTGGCATTGGATGGGACGTACCTAAAAAAAAACCTGATAACAATATAACTAATAAGTCTTTACCCTAGAACCCACAAGGACATAGAACTAACGGCAGACCAGAAAACACCTGGAGAAAGAAGCTGGAAAGTGAAGTTAAAAAAATGGGGATGACAGGGGTAAAGTGTGCCATAGTAAAGGATAGGACGACCTGGTGTGAGTTGGATGTGGGCCTATGCTCCACTGGAAAATACAAGCCTGATGTAAAACACATAGTACATTTATTAATATCTCTGTATATCTTTTTCTTGACTCAACAACCTGTGCCACTTAACCATTCACACTCAGCAATATACAAAATAAATAAAATAAAAATAGTAAAAATGAAAGATAACTATATTGGTACGGTCCAGAAGTTCTTGGAAGTGATTTCTAGGGCGCAGCAAGTCAAAACATTAGTCATAGATTAAATTTATGAGCTATATGTACAATTTTTTTCACGGGAGTGAAATAAATGTTTAAAAAATACATATTTGACTTAATGAATAATTCAACTTGCCATCTGTGTTAATTGGAATGGAACTTTGTTATAATTTGAGAAAACCTTCTACGTGGTACAAATTATTAACTTCTTTAGTTCTATTTTCTGTAACTTTAACCCAGGCTGTCTAAGACAGTATATTATCTCATTCTGTCCTGCAGTTATTTCTTCTCTTTCAAACACTATGACTGTTGCTCAATGGGGCAAACACCTTATGATAGACAATGATTACAGCAACAACTGTTTGGGACTGAAGCTGAAGCCCCAGGATAGATTGCATTCAGAAGTGGACATGACTAACCCAGATAATGCTGAACTGTTGACGAGAGACAGACATGTTGAAACACGTCACACAGAGAGTAACAGTTCATAATGCTTCGGTGACCTCTTACCTCTGACCTCTTAATTCTGACCTTTAAACTCTCTTTCAATCCCACAAGCTTCTGAAGTATATTTTTACCATTCAATTAACTACTGCAAAAATTAGTACATTACTTTCGCTGAAGCTAAAAAATACATTTTGAAAATAGCCTCTAAAAAAGCAAGATTTCTTTAGTGTCCTTTGACCAGCATTAAAAGGTAACAACACATTATGCGATGGTTGGGATTCAAAAAGAAGGGCCAAACACAAATTAGTTGACACTGAAAGAGTTATGCAACGGGATTAGACTAAATAAAGTCATCTTCTTCTTCTTCACGTTCACCAGCTGTAAACTCTGGTGGAAAGTTCTGATTGTTCATCCACTTGTGGACTGCAGTCCTGTTCCAGAACCTGAATGTTGCATGTGCATACGTTTTACAGATCTGACTTATTTGTATGCAGACTGCTGGTTCCTTGCCTCTCAGGCAGATGTACTCTGACTTTGAAGGAAGCTCCCAGTTAGTTGACTCTTATGACATGCTTTTGGGTAGGCAGTGGGTCTAATCTTGTTTTCTCTATAATAGGGCCCCGGAACCCACACGGGGAAGTAAAGTCATGTTTACCAGTTTGCATTTGTAAAACCCTGCATATTTATTTTTATAGTTATTTGAATAATTCAGTGAAGGTTAGCTTTGACAAATGTGAAACTCTTAATGTCACCAGGTGCCGACAATTCTGTATATGGAAGACAGTATGATAATAATCCCAAAATGCAGGATATGGGATCCACTCGTGGCTCATCAAATCTTTACAACAGCCCTCAGGAAAGTGAGTAATTTTCATTCTGTAGTTTAGCCATAGTGTTGTACAGCTGTTTCTTGGATAGTGGATGTCTGTCAACAGTATATGTTCATAGTTCACAATATAGTTTACTATTTTGTTGGACAGTGGATGTCTGTACCTCCACAGCATATATTCACAGTTCACAATATAGTTTACTATTTTCTTGGACGGTGGATGTTTTCTACGTCCACAGCATACGTTTACAGTTTACAATATAATTTACTATTTTCTTGGACAGTGAATATCTGTACCTCCACAGTATATGTTCACAGTTCACAATATAGTTTACTTTTGTCTTGGACAGTGGATGTCTGTACATCCACAGTATATGTTTACAGTTCACAAATAGTTTACTATTTTCTTGGACAGTGAATATCTGTACCTCCACAGTATATGTTCACAGCTCACAATATAGTTTACTGCTTTCTTGGACAGTGAATGTCTGTACATCAACAGCATATGTTTACAGTTCACAATATAGTTTACTGTTTTCTTGGACAGTGAATGTCTGTACCTCCACAGCATATTTTTACAGTTCACAATATAGTTTACTATTTTCTTGGACAGTGGATGTCTATATCTTTACAGTATATGTTCACATTTCACAATATAGTTTACTATTTTCTTAGACGGTGGATGTTTTCTATATCCACAGTATATGTTCACAGTTTACAATATAATTTACTATTTTCTTGGACAGTGAATGTCTGTACGTCCACAGAATATGTTCACAGATCACATTATAGTTTACTATTGTCTTGGACAGTGGATGTCTGTACGTCCACAGCATATGTTTACAGTTCACAATATAGTGTACTATTGACATCCACATTGCATGCATATGGTTCATATAGTAGTCCCCTGTACAGGATCATTGAGAATGATTGTGAGGATTGAAAACTGATATTATTGTCATGGAACAGTTATTATTTACTCACTGTGAAGTGTGGTTTAAATCCTCCCTCGTGATGCCAGTGAGAAACCGAGACAGCTGCCTTTTGATACTAAGTGCAGAGTCCCTGGATACTCAGATACAGACTCGAATTGGCTCCTGAAAGAAAGTGAACTGCCTGAATATCCTCAAAAGTGGGAAAGGTGAATTGAGATGCCTAATGAGCATTGACTTTTAAAAAAACCTGAACAGAGCAAATTACCCCTCCGGACAACATCCCTTTCTGGTCATTAATTAAGTTAAGCCCCCTATGTATAGTTGGACAGCCCTAAACTGACACCAGACACATATCTAGAAATAGAATTAAACTTTAACTGTGAATGTAAATCAATCAGAAATTTTTTTATTAAAATAGTCAAAATAAATCACCTGTTTATGCTTGAAATACAATCCTCAAACTAAAGAGATGATATAATGAAAGAATAATGATGGTCACATGAAACTGCCGTCATGAGAGAGTTAATGAGAATTTTTATGGGCCATACAATTACAACCTGGAGTTTTCCAGAGGATCTTCATCCAAAATTGATTTGGAAAATTGGAACTTCACCAGTGACTAAGAACTTTCTCAGGACACCTCAGTCATCACCTATGACCCACCTGGCAATGTTCTAGGAATTTGTTCTGCCACCAGGAACAAGGAATCTGTCCTTGGCCTTTCAGCAGCAGCAGATAGATATATGACAACACGCTGAGTTCAGCCATAATGCCAGGTTTTTGGGATACTAGAAAGTCAAAATCATCTCAGACCTAAGTTCCCTCATCTCTTCTGCATTCCTAGCGGCTGGAAGTGAGTGTTGGTATTCCCGTGTACCAGCATCATCTTCCGTTGCAGCCAGATTTAGCCAAAAAGTTGCTGGATGCTAGAGGAAACTTATGTACGTGAATGGAACAGGATTTGACATGCCAGAAAATTGCACACTAGACAAATGGAGAAATTCTCTAATGGCACCCCTATTCACATAGGAATATCCCTCTGTGTCATCGCTAAATCAAATGACATTTCTTTAGACGTAGCCAAGAAGAAAAAATCAAGGGTCAAAAGGGGTGGTGTGTCGTTCAAGGTATCATTATCTACCTGAAGCTGCATCTTGCGACAATTATACAACGAAAAGTCAATATATGCACTTGTGGCCTCCTATAATGTTCAGAAAAGTTTAAAGTTTCATATGACTTTGTGTGACTGTGAGGCTTAAAATGTTGCATGCATGGAAGCAAGAGTAGGGCAGCATGACTACTCTGTTCACTCCTCTTTAGTATGAGTTGGTGCCAGGCAGTATATGGACCGTTAAACAGAAAGGTGAGTTTCTGCTGTGGTATGCCGAAGGTAAATTGATTGTCACAGTGCAATGTTAGTGGCCACATTTGCATCCGCCAGAAAACTCTTCCGATGACAAAGCTTTGAATTGGTGGCTGAAGTAATTTAGAGAAACTGGTAGCATTGAGACAAGAAAATCTTCTGGCCAACCAAGAACATTGGGGGAAGATAAGGAATGCATAAGGCGGTCCTACATTAGAAGCCTAAAGACATTGATTGCTCGTAAAAGTTTAGCATCAGAAATTTTGTAAACTAGCATTCAAACTAACTGCACAAACACTTAAGGCTCTGTGCTCACAAAATACAGCTGCAGTATGAAATTAAGTGGAATTTGTTGCATGTGTGCTCGCAACGACGGTGACAATGAAACTTTCCTTCAGAACATTTTGTTTTAATGATAAAACAAAGTCAGGTTGCCGGACATCTAAACGTGCATCTAAGTACCAGCAGTCGACTTTGTCAGTTGAAGACTAACATCGCAGTGGACGATAACAGCAGCAAAGAATCGTTTTATTTGGATTCGTCACCCCAGAAACAGCTTCCTCAACTATGCAGGCCTTGCCTCAAGGACGTAATGTGTCTGATCAAACTGTTCGGAAGAGACTGCATGACATTGGACTTTGGGCACGATGACCACACCGAGGACCTGTCCTTACGCGTCGCCCCCGCCAAAATCAACCTCTTTGGGCAACCAACATTGTCCCTGGGCAGGTGACAATCAGTGGAGACGTATCTGGTTCAGTGACGATTCTTTCTTTTTGTTGCACTATCACGATAGACTGTGTAGGGTCTACGGTAGGTGAAATGAAGGGTTAGCCCAAAATTGTGGATGAAGCTCTGCTGCGCGGTGGTGGAGGTGTAATGGTGTGGGGAATAATCAGTTACAACGGAAGGAGTCAATCGGTGCACATTTAAGGAAGCTTGCATGTGCAGCGATACGTCAGTGAAATTATTCAACCACATCTTTTAATTTTGGGATGCCAACAGATATCTTTTTCAACAGGCCGATGCCAGACCCCTGTCTGCATGGTTGACCATGCAGTTCTTGGCTGCCAATAACATTCAAACCCTTCCCTGTTCATCCCTGTCTGCAGACATGAGTCCGATTTAGCATCTGGGGAATGAGCTGCAAAGACATGTTTGTCGCCAAGATGTTGCTCCAGCAAATGGTCGTGATCTGTTCTAGGCACTCCAGGAGGAGTGAGTATCTGTGCCACAGGCTGACATCAGACATGTGATCGCATCCATACTCAGGAGATGCCAGTCACTGATCCACACAAGAAAAGGCCATAAACCATACTAACGGTAATGGTCGTTCACCTACAATTATTGTGACCCAGATGCAAAAAAAATGTGTCAATTGATTGGTGGAACCTTAAGGTATTCTTGTGCTAAATTTGAGTAATTTCACTTATTGTGTTACAAAGATGCAGAATGTCAAAATTGTGAATATAAATGTCCCTTTCAGTAGCTATGCATTTTTTTAAAGTGTGTGTGTGTGTGTATATATATATAACATTTGCATAAGAGAAAATGCTCACAGAATACAGTGCAGTCAAAAAGTAAGTAAAGGTAAAGTAAAGGACCCTATTCCACGCCTTTAGGTGTATAAGGCATTTGCGCTAGACCTATATTTTATAGACCATCAGCACAAGATGGGTGATGTGGTCAGCATCATGCCGGCCACCTTTACTTCCTGGAACTGCACCCGGTACCCACTCAAGGCCGGGTGCAGTAAATAGACACTCAGATAATAACTTGAGGAGTCACTGTAATGGTTTGGGTAGTGTTTATTTTAAAAAAAAAAATTTTTTTAGTTGTTAATGTTATTGTTTTTGTTTAATCAATGTTACTATATTACTCCCCCAGGTGCTGTGAACTACTAGAAATCATCAGCCATTGTAACAGGGGATATCATCCATTCTTACAAAGTATCATTCATAGTACCAAGGGATGTATGTCTTCCAGTGTGCAGGGCAGGAACATTTGCCTGGAACTCTTGGGTCATGAAAGCGATAAAAGCATGCTTGTTGGAAATACATTTCTTTTGACTCTTTCCATTTCAGACCACGGTGCTCTTATATACAAAACCTTAAAAATGTGATGTAAATTACGTTAACCAAGCCTTTGTCTTGTATAACCTGTCAGTATTTTTGTTAAGGATTTCAAGAGTGTTTAGCATGTGACATCATAGTGCAGACGAACACTGTGGCTTTATAATGATAGTTTAATGATGGCCACCCTCCATCTGCTGCAGAAGTTAAGAACTTTATAACTGAAGAATGAAAGCTTGTGTCACTGACCCATAAAGAACTGCTGGATACACCAGAATAGAACTTGGAGTAGCCTCCTGGGTGCCTTAATTATAACTTCTTCGGGAGGTTCAAGGAGGTATTGGAGATTTGCCTTGCTGGTTTCCAATCCAGGATACAACTCTTTGAGTTGCAGGGGTGATCATATCTTCATCTAGCAGCCCAGAAAGGAAAAACAAACATAATGACACATAGTTGTCTAAAATGTGAGGGAAAGAAGCAATTTAAAAAAAAAAACTAGGTTAAGTACCATACAAACAAAGGATGGGAAGGAGTTAAAGGACAGAATGGGTTAACTCTTAATTTATATTATAGCAGTTGGGGTGGGGGGGGGGGGGGGGGGGTGTATGGTCAATCAAGAAGGAAGATCAGGAGTTGTCAACCAATCCTGTTTGTTTTATTTTTTTTTTT